AGTCATGGGAACCATGAAATTATCTTTTACTGACTAAAAATATAATCCCATGGATGTATATCAACTACAATTTGTTGGTTTTATTTTTAAAATATCTTAAGCCATTCAATTATTTTAAAAACAATTATATTCACTTACACTTGCATGAATTATTTTTTATATATGAGATTAACTAGGTTAACAGTAGGTTCAGCTGCTGCTGCCAGCCAATTCTTTTCGCTTTGGGAGGACACTCAGCAGCCCCTCTCCTTGCCAGGACATGCCTGATCCTGGAAAGCCCCGCTGGCTCCCAGCAACCAGGGCCCTCAGCAACTGATAAAGCAAACCTATACTTCTGCTAAGGCACAGCATAAGATTCCTATTACTGCACCCTGAGTGATGAGTGATAGAGCCGATAACATATTGCCACACTTGTTCCTCAATAATAAAAGGCTATTTGGTCTGGGGAAAGCCTGGCTCTTCACAGGAAACAACACTGCTGATGACRGCAGCTGGCAAATTTGGTGATAACTTGGGATACACAACAAAAAAAACACCCTACTGTTCTCAAAAACACAACACAGACCAGAACTTCAACCCCTCCCTACACTGAGGATGAGCAGCTCTTGCTTCTCTCATCCTGCCTCTAACACAAGCACTTCAGACATGCCCCTAAGACCTCAGGGACTTGATGTTCCTCTTAAACCACTCAACAAACCCTCTGCTTCATCCAGACAGCAGGACAAGTGTCAACTGCCTCTCTCCAGGCTGCTGACAGCTCTTGATTGCTGTTACGCTGACTGGGGCAGTGCAAGTTTCTAAAGTAGAGTTTCCAAGTGTTCTGCATCCAGAGTTGAGGCCAGCATGGTAAAAACAGGACTGGGAGCAAMTCCCACAGCAGTGGTTTGCACAGAGTTGCCACTTCCTTTAGAAACCTGGCCCCAATTATAGATGCTGAGCTTTCCTGCAAACCTGGCCCTTAAAGCCTGTGCCTGTTCCCGCTGCAATCAGTGGTGACTGAATCAGTTCTGATTGATCTAATGGAGACAGGCACAGACACTTAATTAGAAAATTAGTAACTGCAAGGAAAGGAGRGAATGCACAACAGCCTGCAAGATCTCTGGTAGGAAGCAAGCTAAGGAGCCAGTTGTTCTTAAGACTGAGATTTTAGCCTCTCACCAAAAAAAAAAAGGTAATAAAAGAGATTGGCAAAATGGCCTTGAAGCTGTATTAAACATCTTGTATAATATATAATTGCTTTTCAGCTCTTGAGTACTCTACTTTTAGATCTGTCTCCTGGGAAGAAAATATGAAACACGCTGAAACGTACAGCCCTTAACAGCAATCAGCATTTTCAACTTTTCTTTGTGCTGGAAGTAATTAAAACTTTGCTTAAAACTCCTTGCAATTTGACAGGCACAAAGACAAATCAAGTCTAAGGTGTATTTTTCATATTAGTCCAGCTGAGTGCCAGAGAGGTATTTTTCACCAGCTCTTGTGTTTAAGAAAATTGAGATTCCCCACACATTACTTCATGAAAAATCCTAATGTCTGGAGGTTCACAGCCACAACATTCCAGAATTTGTATGTGCTTGGAGGATTACCTGCATAACACGCCTGTGGGTGATTTGTACACTGGTAAATGCACGTACCAGAATGCAGGACCACCAGTGCCAAACCAAGCTCTGCAGAGTTAACCCTGGTGCAGCCTCATCTGTAGCATTTGGGAACAAATTACTCTTTGAGCAAACTATTSCCCTGATGATATTTGAGCTTGTTTTGGACAGAAGTATCTGCTTAATACCTATTGGTAGTCTGGGTCTCAACAATCTTATGGCCTAATATGGGCCACAAGAGGATCAGGGCCTGGGAATATACTATGGAGTATTTGATAGTATMGATAGAGGGGAAGGATTAACTTGGGTATGTTTTATCAAGGATAAACACTGAGCTGTGTTTATTAGCCTGGGTGAAGCCATTTTGTTCTGTGCTCAAATGAGGAAAATGTTAGGAGCTMAAGAGACTCTGGCTCTCCCATTTTCAGCTATTTATGACACATATACACCAGTTGCTGGCTGTGATAGGTGTCTGACATGGAGTATTCCAATCCATGAGAAGAATTCTTTGTCTAGAAAAATCCCTCATGTTCAGAACAGTGTGCTGTTTGAGTTAATTGCTAAGGTATAGCAGTCAAGAAAGAAACCAGAAGTTATAACTTCCTAAATTTCCAAAGCCCCAGAATGAGCTCTAATTCACTAACAAGATGCATCAACCTAGAATTCAGTACAAAAGGCAACAGTCAAAACTTCTGGAGTGGGCAGAAATTTTGCCTGTGAGARTACTGAGGTGCAGGCCCTTCATTAGCACCACCCAACTCTTGGCAAAAGTACATCTTGCCTTTCTCCAGCACACAACCCTTCACCACCATGAGGGCTGGGTTAGCAGAGAGTACTTGCACAATCTCTACAGCCTCCTGCCTCTGGAATAATGGTGCAAAAGCAAAACTCCACAGGGGATTAAATGAGGCAACAGAAACATCTARGTCATGTTAGGACAGTGTGCAGCCGCTAACTTTGAAGGCTGGACTTGATGACCTTGAAGGTCTTWTCCAGCCTTAATGATTRATTCTATGAAGCTGCTGAGACAGAGTGCTGTGRCTGCTCCTTTCTGGGTGCAAGTTTAGCCCCTCAGTACAGAAAATGCAAGTCTTTCTCAGCAGAAATCTCTGAACGTGCTCAGGGATTGGTACACTCTGGCAAGGGCATAATTTCTGGGCATTTACAAAATCTCCTTAAAATGGCATTTGTTAGGAGGGTCTGGCTAACATCACAGCAGTGGTGTTGCAATATTTATATAATATTCTCTGAGAAAATTGTGCGTGCATCAGGATGACACTGGTAGCCAACCCCACATTCAAACATCTTCTGTAATCTCAATATGAGTAATATGCTGCAATTGAGTAATATTACTGCTTAACCCCCAAAATATTATGAGCTGCTTCCATTCCCTGGTTGCCAAAATCTCTTTTTGTGTTTGACTCATGGACAGCTTCTGCCAGGCATACTCACACTGGTTAGCACTTCAGGGCTGCACYATCCAGTATCATGCTGATTGCAGTCCAAATGGTTTAGCCTGTGAGGAATTCTGTTTATCTGCATACACCCCATTTACTTTCAGAGGTCGGCAGACTGCAGGGATGAACTTCGCAATTTATGAGAACATAGGCTGAAACTACAAATAACATACAACAGAGCCATCATCCCATTCTGCTTGTGCTAAGCCATAAACTCAATGCTTAATAAATAAGTAGTGTAAACACAGAAATGACRAGTTAATAAGGCACAATCTGTCTTATTGCATTAACATTTTGTTATAGAGTCTTTCAACTGTTKTAAGAACAAGCATTTTTAGATTTCATGCAAAGGTACAAGATGTAGCTGGATGGTCTCAGCATGGAAGAAAACATCACAGTGAAAATGTGTCTCTTTGCCCTCTAAAAACTCTTACTTCTCACGTAATAATCAGTACAAGCGGGCAGTGCCGAGTTCAAAAGTTGTAACTTCATGGCAGGAAGTGCCTTTTGTATGAGCCTTATGCATATCACACTGAGAAAGTGGAAGACTTTAGCACAAGGCCTTTGCCAGAGCAAAGAGATTTAGAGATTTAGAAAAAGAAGTAAATGGCTATAATACAGGATCAAAAAAGACAGACTATTCCCATTTCTCCCCGATCTGTGCTATTGAAATCAACTTTAGTTCTTGAAAATTTAGATAGGTCTCCCAAATGAGCTTCTCTGCATGTGGCCCTCCATGCCCCATAAAATATATGAATTTATCCAAAGTACACTGAACTTTCTAAGCACATAGTCTTTTCCTGTACTTRAAAGTGTAATTATACCTATAATGACAATTTCCTTATGGCTAACATGGGCTGTCCAGCTGTGCAACTCCAAGTGCTTCTCTTGGGCTTCATAGGGCCAAAGCACATACCAGAGGAAGTGAAAACATATTGAATTTCAGTCCCCTTACTGCATTAGCCACTTATGTACCCTTTCCTTACTGGAATACTTCACTCCATCAGCAGGAGCTGGGTATTTAACCAATTTGTTATGTAAAATGCTACTTGACATGGCATGACATTATTTATTTATTGTTGTTTCTGAGGAAGCATCCTTTGACAGCTTTCCAGGACAGAGGATGCAGGCCCCAGGCCCTGTAGCACTGTGCCCCGTTCCCAAAAGTCAACACCGCGTTTGCAGTCCCGGCTTAGCTRACAACARCATCTGTCCCGAGCTGGTGCCCYGGGAGACTCTCCATCCTTCCTCTGSCACCACCTTCGCTAGGCACAGCCKTCTCTAGCGCAGTGAGGGCTCACTGCAGCTGCCCTTCATGGCTAATGAATGAAAAGGTAGTGTCTTTACAAACAGACTGACTCTGGGGTGAGATAAGGCTGATATTGGGAGATAGAAAGAAACAATAGGAAGGATTTGCATAGGAATTCTACTGATTGGCTTACCCCAGTCTATGTTAATAGACTACCTGAGCAGAGACACAGAGATGTATATTGAAAGGGGGCAATGTATGATGGAAGGGGGATTCATCAGGCGTTTCGGGGAGCCTGTACCTCTCAAGTACCTCAGCCAATGGGGAAAGAGAGAGGGGGAACTGTGGCTGGGAAATTGGGATAAAAGAGGCTGCGTCCTCTATGAATTTGAGAGACCCCATGGGAAATGCCCATGACCTCTCCCTTTATTTATGAATAAAGTTGCGGGACTCCTCTGTCTCCTTTTTGGACATAAACTTCTGGTGCTTGTGGATTAACTTTCCTAACATGAAGAAGGGGAGAAAACAGAAAGGATAAGAAGAACCAGCCCACAAACTGCTGCTAAGGAGGAAGGTGGCACCACTCCCCGCACTGTCACAGTCGCGGCCTCACATGACCCTCCCTTGGTACGCGGCCGGCCCATGGCGGGGGCCGGGCCGGGCCGGGCCGGGCCCAGCGGAGCCGCCCCTCAGCCCTTCCCCGACGCGGGCAGGGCTGGCCGGGCACCTTATGTAAGGGCAGAGGCGGGGCCGGCAGCATTGTGTGGGCGGCCGCGGCAGCAGCGCCATGTCTTGGTACCGCAACAGCGTGTGGTTCGTGAAGGGGCTGCGGGAGTACACGAGGTACGGGCAGCGGCCGCCCGGGAGGCGGCGTGGGGCGGGCGCAGCGCCCGGGCTGGGGCGTTCCTGTCTGTCCGCGGGCGTTGCACCGCGCCCGGGCGGTGTTTGTTTTGTGGTTTTAAGGACGGCTGTCCGCCCCCGCCCAGGCAGGCGGATTCCACGGCCCGGGCCGCCTCCCGAGGGTCGGGGTCAGGGCTGGGTGGCTTGAGGCGGCCAAACGCCACCTTGCTTTCATTGCAAAGCCCTGGAACAGCCTGCCCAGAGAAGTGATGCAGGCACCATCCTTGGAAGTGTTTAAAAAATCTGGATACGGCGCTTGAGAACATGGGTGAACCTGGTGGTGATGCTGGGCTGATGGTTGGACTTAATGATCTTAAAGGTCTTTTCCAGCCTTCATGATTCTATGGTACATCGTTGACCCCAGTGTCACTGATGTTCGTGGCCTGTCCCATGGGAACAGAGAGTAAACAGGACATTTAGTGTATGCTGAGCTGTGAGAGGAAAGTGTTTTTCAGCCCACTTATGTGTTTCATTTTGCAAGGGATCTCTTCTAGTTTCTCACAGGTATCTCTTGATTTATTCAGAGGTGGCTACGAGTCTGCTTCCAAGCACTTCAACCCAGCTGATGTGGAGGTGGATGTGGCTGGAAGATCCTTTCTGGTCACTGGTGCAAACAGTGGCATTGGCAAGGCCACAGCCAAGGAGATAGCGAGGAGAGGTGAGCCGGGGAACTCAGAGGAATCGCTGCAGAGATCAGGAAAGGAAATAGCTTTGGCCTTCCAGTGTGCACACACACACAAATCCCTGGGATGCAGGGTCATTTTACAGAGCTCTTAGTGGAGGCTTAAGCACAATCAGTGCAGTGATAACTGGAATAAGGAAACCAAATTAGCAGAGAGGATTTGCAAATTGTTTTTCAAGTACATGTTTACCAAAACTGTCAGTGTTACAGTGACATCTGAGGATGTTGGTGATGGATCAGTGTTTGTTTAAGGCTAATTTGGTACAAGTAGCATCCAGGCTGAGTTTGAACTCAAGAATTTGCCAGTGTATCATATGATGAAAGAAGACAATTGTCTTTGCAAAAATGGGATTGCGAGACTATAAAAGAAACAATGTAGTTGTGCTTGGTCTTGATAATACCCTGGAGTTTGTGCCCTCTGACTGATTACATGTAATTATTTTTTATGTTGTTCTCTGTACACAAGGACATGGTATGAACTGGACCTAGCTGCTGCTGCAGCATAAACTTGATCCCTTACAGAGTTGACAAAATAATTCCTGTTGTGCAAGAGTGACAGGAGTTTTGGCACATAGAATGAATGGGAGGAGCTTGTGGCTCTTTCCTCTCTTTGTGTGTTTAGGTTTCATAACTATCTTATGAAGGAAAGTGGTGACTCAGTTAAATTAAACTAATTCGAAGCTATTAGCATCRAAGAGTTTTGGGTTGAAGATCAACATCAGTGCCAGCACATGATTGGTTYCAGGTTCCCACTATTGCTATTGTACATAATAGCTTAATGAAAGTATTGCTTTATCATGTGACTGTTTTTTCTCACCAATTAATATCTCTACCAAGTTTTGCAAGAAAGCTGGCTGGATCTATATGGGATTTGGTCACCATGTTTAGCAGAACAGCCTTGGGCTCAGACTGCATATCTGACAGGTTGTATGGGGCATTGCTGTTCATATGAAGTTAAAATGACTTTCTGATCCCATCCTCAAACATCTCACTTTGAAACTCAGTGTCAGCTGTTGGGGCTCAGGTGTCTGGTTGAATCTCTACAAGTACACCATGACAGGAAAATAAGGAATTCAGATTTAGCAGAGGAATAACCAAGCTATTTTGGCTTTACCTTCAAGCACTTGGATCTTTCTAATGATGACCTTGCTGACGATTTCTGTAGTCTATGTTCAGCTTTTCTCTGAATTGGTGTCTTATGGGCATGTAGATTTGGGCTTTTTCTCTGTGTCTTGCGAACTGCACATCCAGATTGGTACAGTCTTCTCCCAACTACTCTGACTATTCCCATGTGTTAAGTTCAAATTGTTTGAATCTTCACTGTGGAAAATACATTTAAGTTCCTTTCCTAGTCTGTTGGTCACACCAAAACTTCCCCTCTGTCCTGGTGCTCAGTGAAGAATCTATCTTGTAGACAAAAGGTTTCATTATCAGACCCGAGACAGGGCTGTGCAGTGTTTTGTATTTGGGTTCTGGGCACTAGAAGTGTGACCTGACACGAGTGGTGTTTCTATTATGGATTAATTATGTTTCTAGGGGTTAATTCCTTGAGCTTTCTAATGGTAAACTGCTAGCAATCCCTAAAACATCTTTAAAAATAGGCAAAATTAAAGAGTACAGCCATTTCCTATGGCTGAAATTAACACAGGACATGTAACAATCAAGAATGTGAATCAAAAAAACTAAATTTGTCTAGCTGTACTTTAGTCTTATTTTTGCATACTTTCTTTAATATGGCTAAGTGATGAGATCATGTTAGGTATCCAGGTCTCTATGAAGAGCCTTGCCTTGTGTATTCCTTTCATGGAAAAGTTGGTTGGAATAGACTTCTAGAGGTCACATTGTCCAACATCTCACTTGAAGCAAGACTGTTGGCAGCTGTAGATAAACCAGTCATTGCTGTGTCTCACTGCTTGATACCCTCAACAATGCAAATTACGCATCCTCTTGGGACAGTCTGGTCTATTTAGAAGAAAACTACTGAAAATTATTTTTCTTAATAGATGACCAGAGCCTCCCAAGCTACAATTTGAGGCCATAGTCCTTGTCATATCTTCCACTGCTGAGAATTCTGATATCTGCCACTTTTACTTCCTTTTCACAGAGCAATTCTAGCTACTTGTATTGTTCAGGCTCTTTACTGAGCTTCCTAAGGCATGTATCAAAAAAGCATCTATGATACAGATGCCTTAGCTTCAATTTCCAGTGTAGCTCTGGTATTTCAGCCACTAAACAAGATGTACAGACTTGACAGAAATGGCTTGAGCACAGTASTTAGAGTGCAGTGGCCATTTCCATGCATGCAGCCTTGCTTGATGAGCCTGCCTACCTTCACAGGGACCAGAGCCAAGCAGAAATATTCCAGCTTTTTTCTTATATCCAGTATCTCACCTAATTAAAATGCTGATGTCTCCCCCAAATGCAGTTAATAATTAATTATCAAATGCTTTTCTTGTCACAATCCACCAGGTGGCACGGTTCATCTGGTTTGCCGAAATAAGGAACGGGCTGAAGTTGCCAAAGAGGAAATAGTGACAGAAACTGGCAATCAGGTGAGTCATGTTTTCGGTCTTTTGTTTACTTTTAGAAAGTTGTTAATATTATAGACCCCAGAGGCCTTGAGATACTCTTTCAACTCTTGCGGTTCTGTTTTTAATAATATTTTCATACAGACATGGTAATATCTAGTAGTTTCTAATTCAAATGGTTTGAAGTGATTTAACTTCATTAGGTGATGTATTCTGTGATTAGTAACATCATCAGCAGCATGCTGTTTTATTTAATGTTTCCTGTTGATTTTGCTTTTTGATGTCCTACTTACTATTCCTAACTAAGTGGCTGAGGCTTTTAAAAGTTAATGCATTGCAACACTTGCAACAACATTTATGAGTCTGCAGCATTGGAGCTGAAGGTTTTATGTATCTGAATAACGTGMTTTTGATTTGCTAAGGTTGGCTGCTCTGTGAAGTGCTGTGTGTGGTCTTAATTCTGTGCGCTACCTTTCTGTGCTCTGCCTTTTCGTCTCCTTCTCTTATAACATCTCTTCCTTCCCTCCTTCCTTCTRTTACACCTTCTTTTTGTTTCTGTGTCACTCTACAGTACCCCCCTGTATCTGTCCCTGTTGTTTTTGCTAATTGTTCAGGAGGGTGTGCTTATGGAGAAGTTCACTAGTCATTATTTTTTTATCTTCATGCCCTGGTTTTGGCTGGGATAGAGTTAATTTTCTTTATAGCAGCTCCTCTGGTGCCATGCTTTGGATTTGTGACCAAACCAGTGTTGACAGCCCACATTTTAGTTGCTGATGAGCAGTGCTCACACAGCATCAAAGCCTTTTCTGGTTCTCACACCACCCCACCAGTGAGCCAGCTGGGGTGCACAAGGAGATGTGAGGGGACACCTTGGGACAGCTGACTCCAGCTGGCCAAAGGGTTACCCCAGACCCTWTGACATTGTGCTCAGCAGTAAAAGCTAGGAGGAAGAAGTAAAGAGGGCATTCACAGTTACCGTATTTGGCTTTCCAAATCACTGTTGCATGGGATGAAGTTCTGCTTTCCTGGGGATTGCTAGATGCCTGCTTGACAATGGGAAGTAGTGAATTAATTCTTTGTTTTACTTTGTACATGCAGTTCTGCTTCACTTATTAATGCCTTCATCTCAGYCCACAAGTTTCGCCTGTTTTGTCCTTGTGATTGTCTTCCCATTCCCACTGGGAGTGGAGTGAATAAGTAAATAGTATGGTGCAGGGCTGAACTGCCTGCCAGCACTTGGATGGAGATCTGTTTTCATTTTAAGTAATGATTTGGCTCTTGTGCACAGTGTTTTGATTTTGGTGTTTTAGTTTTTAATGTGGATCAAAAATTCTGAAGACTTTTTTATGGTTAGAGACATCATATTGACTATATTTCTGCTCTTTGATTTCAGCTCCCTAGTGTGACACAACCAGCATTACACTTCAGTTCTTTAATGGAGGTGAATTAGATCAGTCCTTATGTAGAAATAAATACTTTCCAGCTGTCTATAGCTGTGTAATCCCCTGGCTACAGTAAGACTGGCGATTATCTGTGTTACCTCCTTCTCTAGCTGCAGTCAGACAGCCTGCGAAGAGAGGGGAGTTTGACCTCTGAAAGTTTCCTTCATATTCTGTTTTCTGTCACCTGGTGAAAAAACTTGAGGCAAATAACATTCTTCCTCTAAAGGCAGCATAATTACTGCATTGCCGCTCTTCAGTCAGCTGCAAACCTGTAGTTTCTGTTGTCATGAGAGAGTGCAAGGGCACTTCAGAACTTGTCTGTGACCCCGGGGACAGGGCACTTGTGTAGAGAGCAGCTTTCAGTGAAGTGTYAGATGAGCTGTACAAAAGGCCCTGTGGGACACGTGACTGTGCTGGGAAGAGCATTTTAATAAGGAGGCCACAAGAACATCCTTCTTTATAAGTGCTCATTCAGAAGCAATCCAGAGAGATAATGAAATGCTTTATCTGCAGCTTGACAAGCTGTATCCAGACTGAACTTGCTCTTCCTGATGATTTGGTTATATTTATAGTATACACCAAAACTTTTTTTCTATTTTCCGCAATTCATGCTGGAGTGTAGTGGCAAAATGGAGYTATTTGGCAGTCACCTGCCCCTAGGTCTGGGAACTGGAAAGTTCTCCTAATCTTTTAAAACAGATCTAGTCACGGAGATTAGGTTTCACTTTGAAAATGGCTTTGTTACCATCAAGGACTTCTATAGGGAACAGTGCTGAGTATCCTTTTCCTGAGTCATTGTGACAGACTTCAGCAGATAAGCATTGATTTAGATCTTTTTCAGTCCCTGAAATCCCTTGTAATATCGAACATCTGCCCTAAAAACTGTACCTCTTCTGTACCAGTAGATAATGGTATTAGCTTTCAAAGTGGAAAACTTTAAAAGAGGTTTCCAGCTTGACCCAGTAGAACAGTGTCAAGTTTTTGGTCACAAATGATTCACAGAATGGATATGGTTGGAGGGACCAGAGTGGTCCGGTCCAATCTCCTTGATTCGAGTATGGTCATTCTAGAGCACATTATTACAATGAGAAAATTCTGACCCAAACTCAACAAAGRAGCTGAAATCAAATGGCTAGAGAGAAAGTAATGTGCTTTTTACCTTCAGGGAATCAGAATTACAGGCAGAGAATAATGCCATATCATTTCTTCAGCTGCTTCACTTATCTCTTATGCTTGTATAATGAGTATTTAAAGAAACAACTTGGAAAGAGAGGAGGCTCTTTAATGATTATTTATTGTTTTGTAAGAGAACACATCCTCTGCATAATTATTTTAAAACTGCCTTTTCTTGGCATACGTCATAAGACTATCTGTGGTGTGTCTTAGAGACTAAGTGCTATCTAGGAGAAGAGTAGGAGTTGATGTGCCTTTGTATGCTGATAAATGCCACTGCTTGTACAATGCAGAACACAAATACTCAAAAAGCAAAAGAATTGTATGTAGCAAACAGCAAAAGGTTTTTGATGTTTTGGAGGGAGGAATTATTTCTAGCTTTAGTGGTTTAGAAAATGATAACTTTGCTCTATGTCAAGCCTTTTTTCATTTTTTTTTTGTTCTATTGCATCCACATTGCTGGCATTGCAAAACATCGCAAGAGTGTTGTGACATGGAGTGACTAATAAGGATGTAGCAGTTAAATGCAGTAGTTAGCATGCGAGCGGATGCAGAAGGTTCCTATCAGTCTGAGACAGCTGGAGGGGCTGCAGTGGTGCTCCTGAAAGCATCTCTCCTACCCTGGTTGGAGCCACTGTGCCTGGCACATGGGAGACTAGCCCAGACAAAACTCTGGAGAGATAATGGCAGATGCTGAGCTGCATGGAGTGACTGGTACTTTTCCCTGAGCCTAGGGCAGTGCATGATGGTGATTTCATTTGTTGGGTTCTGCTGTCCTTAGGGGTGCTGAGCTGCAAGGTGAAGCAACAGCAGGCGATAAGCAGGCTGCAATGATCATAGAGAATAGAAACAGGAGACTGAATGCCTCTGCTGAGAGTAGATGAGCACATTGTATGGAAGGAGGGATGGCTGGAAGCTGYATTTGAATAAGTGATGGATAGAGACTCCTAAAATGGGGAGGAATGGAAGCTTGTGAATGCTGGCAGCAGAAGGCAGGCTCTTTCTCTGCCTGCAGATGTGCATTTATGGATAGGTATAGTGCCATGGTAACAGATGAGGAAGAGCAAACTCTGTCAGGGGAGGTGTTGGAGACAGATGATCCTGAACAGTTGTTGACAGTGGGAGGAAGTCGTGGGTGATGATGGCTGAAGGCTCCTTCCTGTGGGGGGTGGAGACACCCATCTGCAGTCTTGGCTTGATGACTTAAGAAGTTTGTCATTTGCTGAGGACTTAGATTTAAGGTATTGTGGAGAGTCTGCTGAGGCTGGTCTGGAGTTTGGACTAATACCACTTGTTGCCCAAGGACTCCCATGACATTGTGAGGAATGCCCTGGAGTTCATCAAGAGCATTTACAGAGAGTCAAGGGCATGGGAGCCCAAGTAGTGGTCTCCTAAATCCATACAGTGAAAGGGAGGGGGGGAGGGGCTTGGGTAGGARCATATGCACCTTGCAGATCAACACCTGAATTTTCAGCTGGTATCACTTTGGCCTTTGCCACTTTGTCTTTGGCCTGAATGGCCTCTTGGACCTCCTCTGTAAAATGAGTGTTGCTGAGCAGCAATGTTCAAACAAGAGTGGCTTTGCCAACAGGTTTGCTAGAGCCTTGTGGGGAGGGCTTTACACTGATTTCATTCGTTTGTAGTGACCAAGCCGAGAAGGGGAGTAGAGTCATGGGTGAGTACATGTCTAGGGGAGAGCAAAATGGTGGAAGCTCTCAGAGTTTTCATGAGAAAGCAGCATGTCTGGGAGCCCATTTTAGATGTCTGTTTTTAAATACACGTAGCATAGGAAACACAGGAATCCGTACATGACTGCTGAGCTGAGATCTCACTGGGATCAGAGAGAAATTGTTGGCATGACTACAGTGCTGGAGTGGTTGTATACCCTTCCCATTTGTACTGGTCTTGGYTGGGGTAAAATTAATTTTCTTCACAGTGGCTGGAATGGGGCTGCGGTTTGGATTTGAGCTGAACACAGGGTTGATAATACCGAGATGTGTTTGCATTTGTTGGAAAGGCCTTACATAGAGCCAAGGCATTTTCTACTTTTTGTACTGCCACACTGGAGAAGAAGGTGGGGCTGCATGGGAGAATGGAAGGAGCTGGGACCGGATGACAAACTCACCAGAGGGCTATTCCAGACCATGTGGCATCATGTTCAGTGTATGAARTGGGGGGACGGAAAAGGAGCAGGGACATGTTTGGCTTCCAAAGTAAYCATTACATGTGATGGGGTCTTGCTCTCCTGGAGATGGCTGAGCACCTGCCTGCCCATCGAAAGCAGGGAATTCTTTGTAAAAAGCCTAAAGCACCTGGCATTCCCAGGCAGTTTCCCATCCAATTACTAACCAGGCCCAGCCCTGATTAGCCTCTGAGATCAGACAAGATTGGGTGTTTTCAGGGTGATATAGCCATAGGCTTAGRGTTTTTTTGCTTGTGTGTGTGTGACTTTTGCTTTCCTTTTTAAACTGTCTTTATATCAACCCRYGAGTTCTCTATCTTTTACCCTTCTGATTGTGGACAAGAGAGGAGCAATGCTCTCCTTAAATTTGATGAGGCTTTTTACATGGTGTTGCCCAGGTGACTAGGGAGATGGGACATGTGGTGTGTGATGTGAGTCTGGGAAGGCTGATTTTGCTCAGTGTTAAGAAGAGAAGGTTGAGATGGGTTTTGGTGTATTCTACAGCCATGTGATGGGAGTGTGTATGGAAGGCACTACCATGCTTCTCTTGGAGGTCTGCAGTGGGAGGAAAAGAGGCAGCTGACACAGATTGGAACAGGGACAAAATTCTGAGTAGACAGTAGGAAAAGTGTCTGCCCCATGAGCGTGATCAAACACTGGAGGCTCAGAGCAAGGGACTCAGACGGGCTGGTGAATCTCCGTATTTGCCAAGCAGCCTCCAGAGGTGTCTTCCAACGTAGATTATTCTCTAACACTGTGACCTTGAACATTTCATTTGAGAGTTCAGCCAAAGAGAAGGCTGCTGTCCAAATTGTTTAAACTGAAATTTTGCAAGCTTTGCAATATTTTTCTAGCTCTCTGCTATGCCTGACTGTCTGTCACATATATTTATCTAAGTAGGACTCTCTCTTAATAACTTTGTCATTAAAAAACTGTGTCTCAGAAGCAGCTGAATCAAGTGACTAAGCATGTTTTAAGGACTTGAGTTAAATTTCACAGTTGTATGTTGCATGTCAAACTGTATTAGTTGTGTTCTGGAGACAATATTTTTTCAGACTGTTGAAGTACCTTTCCATCCTAACAGATCTAAACAGGTTCTCTCTCCACTTTCCCTGTTGATTGTAACTTAGTTTCTTTTCCTTTAGAATATCTTCTTGCATATTGTGGATATATCTAATCCCAAGGAAATATGGAAGTTTGCTGAAAAATTCCGGAATGAACATAAATTAAATGTGTTGGTAAGTTTGCATACTTAAAATCATGTGTGTCTATTTTGGGAGTATGTAGCCTATGAATTGGTCTCACAGGTTATATAGATTTCCCAATTTGGCCCACAATCCTCTCCTTAATCTTTTCAAAATGTTTTTTTTCATAAATCTCCATGGTTTGCTTGCTCTAGTCCTTTCTCATTTCACACATATGTGCTACAACAGAAGAGAAAAGCTGTGTTTTTATAGCTGCATCTTTTGAGATATTATACATTTTCTCTTTGACTTTCATTACTAATAACATTGTCCATCTTAAAGCTAGACCTTCTGAAAGATTAAACTTTTACAAAAAGTCCAAAGACTAAAACAGAACCAAGGAGAGAGCAAACAGTCAATCATCATGGTTGGCAAGGGGCTCAGTACAGTTTCCCCTTTTTTAAGCAGTGAATATTTGCTTGAGGAAGTATACTACAGCTAAGGCACCTGGAGCAGTTCCTTTGATGCTTACTAGATGATGACAAAAGGGGATTCTAACYGATACAAAGGGGAAAATAACTTTTGAGGAGTGTGGCAATGAACACACAGGAAGTTGTCTAGAGGTAGATCTTTTTTTGAGGTGGGAAAGAAAAGCCTGAGCTCCTTTTGGAAAGTAAGGCAGGGAAGGAAGTGTATCTGGGACCATGCTAGTTGCACACAGCTTGTAAGCGTATTTATTGAGATAGTGTGGAGCTTTGTGTTGCAGCATCAGAAAACAGTAAATTAGCGTGGGCTGCTCATATGTGTGGATTTCCTTGTAGATATTTGTAGATATTTGCATTGTACATTGCTTTTGTTTAAAGGAGTTGTTTTACAGATCAACAATGCGGGATGTATGGTGAATAACAGAGAGTTAACTGAAGATGGACTTGAAAAAAACTTTGCAACAAACACTTTGGGTGAGTTGAAGGTTTAGTTCTGGAACTTACTTATTTTGCTTACAGAAATGTGTTTTTATAGCTGGATTTGTGAGGTGTGTATTTCTGCTCAAAGAGGGATCATAGCATTGCTCTGCCAGGAAAGGGCCAGGAAGGAAAAGAAGAAATATTATAGCTTGTTTGGAGAATAAATTTTTAATTTCTCCATTTTTCAGTTGTTCTACTRTCAGCACCTTTATTTGTCATAGCAACAGTGGACAATTGCAGATAAGATTTAATTACATTGATTCTGAAGYTTGCTAGGAAACTTTGTTCCAGGCATTCTTGCTAATGTGTAATAATTGTGTTTTKGGGGTTTGGATGGAGCTTGGAGCACGTTCAGGTGTTTAAAGAGACTTTCAAATGTTTAAGTGGGCTTGCACAGCTGCATTTGATGTGACAGAGTCACTGTGTAGGAAGCCTGTGCTGTATACAGTGCCCTKGAAGCTCTCAAATGGATGCAATCACTAATGAAGGGATTGAGCAGAACTGGGCAAATCTTGGGCACTCCCCGTGTAGGGGACATTATGTGTGAACTGTGTGCCAGTGTTATAAGAGGGGCAAATGATAGGAAGCAAGTCAAGAGGGAAAGGGGAGATGTGGGTTAGCAGGGAAGATGGTGAGCAAAGTGGAAGGTTCCCCCAYAGGAGCTGTGGAAAAGATGTGAGCAAACAACCAGCCAGCAAAGAAAAGCTGTCTGACACTGCTGGTATCTGTAAGGCTGAAAGYTGCACCTCTTGGAAAGAGATATATGGTGCTTGCATCAACCCAGTAGTCCTGACACTCTTCCCCCTCTGCCTCCATGCACGGTAGGTGAATCTCGYGAGAGACTGTCTTTAATATATTCAAAAGTGGCACATGAAAGAGGAGCTGTGGTGCTTTATTTCTGTATTTTTGTCCTGTTCATCAGTATCTGTAATGAGAAAGGGGAAAACCTAGTCTATAAAGATAAGGCATTTATAAAATTAGTGTAACGTGGAAACCACTGTTGTTTTTTTATTCTTAGCCCTTTTCCTGTGTTGATTCCTTAAATCCTACTTATGTTTGAAAACTAACATTTTGGTATAAATGTCTTATTCTTCACTGTTATTGTGCATACAGCTCCATTTTTCTGGTAAGTCTGAATACATTAAACTGACAATTAAGTATGAAGGCACAGATTCATTTTCTTCAAATTAATCTTCTGGTAGCACTCTGCTGTTTCTCATGGTCAAAAAATTCAAAATGAGTTTTATATTGCCATCAAATTTCCCTTGGCTGCACAAGTACAAGAACTTCTTGTACTTGTCTTGAATAGACCTTGAGGGTCTATTCACCTTAAATTAGTTTAACCGTTTTGTGGTCTTTCAAAAACCCAGCAATGTGCCAAATGTTCATCCAGAGAGAAGCAGAGTGAAACAAACACAACAGTCTGAATGCAAAAGCATGTTTTGGTTTAGTTTTAGACATTGAGGATATTAAGTGCTGAGGAACTGTACTAGTGCATCACTTGAATTATATTTTATTGCACAAGTAGAAGCAGCAAATTCTGCTTTTTCAGCTGTAAATCAGCCATACTAGAGGTATATGGCTGCACAGAGGAAGCTGAATTATGGTTGTAACAAACCAGGGAAATGCCTGTATTATCTTTTCAGGATGTTACTTATAGATCTCCTTCATTCATTCATATATCACTTGCTGCATGATTATATCAGAAGTTTAAGGTGGTAAATAATCCTCTGCTGTTGGACTTCTTCAGAGTTCAGACAAGGACTGGGTTGTTTGCTTAGACTCCTTCTCTCTAGACAAAAATAAGGATTAAATTTTGAATCTTTTAGAACAGAGTGGGACTTGGTTGAGCTGGAAGAAGCTGGCAGTGGAACMGGATGCTTCTATGTTTGCAGGAGGGACAGACATGAAGGCTACAAACCACGGGCTTTTTTCTCCAAAGTCTACTTAGGGATAGKGTAGTAAGTCATAACATCTGGAGTCATAGTAGAAGAAAGCTGTGTGGAGAAACACCTGTCAGAGTAGATGCTGTGCACTGTGTTATTTCCCTAAGCACTAGGTGCCTTTGGGTGTGTTTTACTTGGGAGAAGTAATTTCTGTTACAGAAMTATCTGTGGTTATAGGTTCTCAGAGGAAAATGTGGCTAAATTAGATATGGCTTGTATATAGGTTGCTGTAAACYAGAATGTGGTCTGAAAGAAGAAACTAAATTCCCCTCTCTGCTACATTAATGCTAAAGCGTGAAGGGTGACATGGGCTCAAGGCCCTTATTTGGAAATTGTGCAGTTGTCTTTCGCTTGATTGACAAGATAGAATAATATCAATATCTTTTGCAGATCTTTACGTGTAGGGTGTTCCTTCCATATTTCACTATTTTTTTCCTATCCTGGATCTAAGCTCTGGTCTAGTAAAGGAATGTGTAGGTTGTAACTATCTAAGAATGCAAGACTGAAATATAATATGCTTTAAATGCACAACACAGTTTTTGAATTCTGTATCTGATATCTGATTAACATTTATATATGCTGCAAAGTTGCTCATTTAGGTGTCTGAAATGCCGTGGAGCTTTTACATCTAGTCTGGGAATATTTTCCTCTTGACTGATCTGTTAGACCATTTTTGAGCATAATGGATGTGAGTGTTCAGTTCTGATTGATCATCTGACCTGTAAAACACACTTTATGTCCTGATCTTTTCTTGGACATACATGGGACAAAAATGTCTGCATAAGTCCTCTTGTATGAATATGTGMAAAAATAATACCGTTTAGAATAGAGAGTAAAATTCCCTTAATGTAAAACATAGCTGACTGGCTAATTGAGGATAGCAACTGAAATAGAAGGTGTGTAGTCCTCTCTGGTGCTGTCAGAATATGCAGGTGGATGAAGGTCATGAAAATGTAAAATGCAGGTTGATAGTTAAGGCTTTGTGTGGTTTGTTTAATATTCAAGTTCAAACTGTGAAGTGCTTTGAGCAGGTGGCAGCAGCTGCATCTGTGCCGGTGCCTGTAGCATCCTTAAAATGAGTCTGAGGCACAAATGCTGTATGGCTTGTTSTGGTTCTGTTGTTGCTGTCAAATGAAACACTTTTTAAAATCAGGACACCTTTTTTTTCCCTGCTAGAGCCTCAAGAATTGTTGTCTGATTGCTGTAGCTCAGTGAATGTAGATAGAACAGCTGTGGAACACTTAGACTGTAAAGTAGGAGCAGTGGCCAGTCACAAGTCTAAAACAGCATTTTGCTGACTGAAACACACTTTCAGTATGAAATTGAAKGATTCTCTTGGGTTAATGTGAGCAGATTTTCTGGGAAGCTGCCAATCCTGATGGGCAGATTATTTTTTTCTGTCCGCTAATTTGTTTGATGTTGCCGTTATATTTCTTCACGTGGGCTGACCATGTAYTCAGGGTTGTATCCAGGAGCTGGGCAGCAACAGGCAATCATGTCTTCTGATGAGATTTGCAGACTTCTGAGTCAAAACTTTTTTAAATTTAATTTTATTTTACTTCTTTTAGGTATAACTCCCAGTGAAGAACTATTAAAGCTGGTGGTATTCAGTCATTTTGGAAAAAAATGTCAACACTGATAAGCAAGCGGAGGCAAAAGCAACATGTTCTTATTGAAGCAGTAGACATTTAGCTGAAGCAATCCTTGTTCCTCTTATTTTATCACCCACCTCACTTTATGTTTACTCAACATATCTTTCTATTTGATGTGGAAAAATGGCATATATGTTACTTATTTATTGCTACTTACCAGCCAAGGGGATGCTAAAACACTCTGAGAGATAAATAAGTGATGCTCCCAGTATGCATCTTTTCTTCAATCTAATGTGCTCTCATGTTTTAATAATATATAGATATATTCTTCTGCTCTCTGTGCAAGGAGAGTCAGAGGCAGAGGAAATAAGATCTTTATCTGTAGTAACATTATATCCAATCTATAGCAAACTGCCTAACCTTGATGGATATTTGTCAGTCCCTTCCCTACACATGAACTGCATCTAACTGCAGTTTCACAGAAGTCAGTGCAGACTGGTATGTTTTGAATTACTTGGAAGTCAAACAATTTGAATAGCAGCTGTCAGTCTTCTGGAAGTGTATTGCCTGATCTTTGGCAAGGCAACCTTACCTGTGAAAAGGAGGATTTGGTGCCAGTTTGCTTTTGAAAGAGCTTTGAGACTTATGGATGAGAAGTGGTATGTGAAAGGATAAGGCTGAGTATAACGGTACATCCACTAGCTGTACTGCAGCCTAGTTCCCAGGAGACAGAGGAACGCTTATTGAGATGAGCTTTGCCATTTAAGGGAAATGTAAACCTTTGTTTTGTGTTTCATGTTCATTAACTCTTCCCATACAGTCTCAGTTATTGCTACTGCAGTGCAATTGGCTCTCAGAGGCAGCACACTAAAATCTTCATTCCTTATCTCTTACTCAGGAAAAGAAACTCAGGGATATCTTACTGGGAACTGCATAAACTGTAGGTTTGAAAAGATAATAAATTCAAGGAAGAATGTCAGTTTGTTTGTTGGGTGGTYCTGTTTGTTTGTTTCTGTGGTTTGTTTTTACTTGGACTCAAGAAAAGCAAAGCATTKTAACTGATTTTTTACCAGATGAATGAGCCATTGAAATCTGTACGATAAAAGTTTTTTGGTGGTCTTGGGTTTTTTGGGGGGTTTATTTTTGGATTTTTTTTTTTTTTGTTCCCACTTTTTTTACAGTTGAAATAACACTGTTCCTAGTAATACTGCAAAGCTCAGGCAGATGAAAAACCTCACTGAGTATGGTGCTGGCTGTGTGCCCTTATTTGCATGCTAGCAGGGTAAAAACCTCACCAGCAATGTGCATTAATTGCCATATAGAACAGCAGGCAAAAAACATTTTGGAATCCACCAAGACACTTGGGTCCACAATAATTGTATCATCAATTAATTTGATGTTATCAACAGGTGGAAGCTTTACAATGTTACTTACACTGAAACCATAATTTTCATCAAAACTGATTTATGAAGTCCAGGTTTTAGGGTCACATTGAATCTTAAAGCAGATTGGAGTATGTGTTTGTATACTCTTACTGTATGTGATACCCTCTTGATTTTCAGTCTGAAATACGTGAATCCTAAGGAGTCTTCCAGGTTTTGGCAGGCTGCAAGTTTGGAAATCTGTGTKCACAGTGTTTGTTTATATTTTCTGTTAGGGCTGTTCTGTGTTTAGCTTGGTTTCACATTCTAGTACAGAAAGACCTGCAGTTTCCATTGGGAAAGACGAGTGTCTAATGCACTGTAGRCTGCTGACCTTTGTGCTAGGGTAGTTTTCATTTTGTTTGTGTCGTGAGATCTACAGTGGAATAACTGTTGCAAGAACATGCAGAGCTACCTTTCCACAAGACCTAGTAATAATGTCTTTTGTAGAGTCCCCTCAGCTTCTACATCATGTCATGGGAAAGGTAGCRTAAGTGTTTAGGAGTTTATGAGGCAGACAGGCTGATTTATGTGGATTTTGGCCTTTTTTTAAAAAGCAGCCTACCATATGAATCAAATGTTTATCTCCATAATGGCACCTCATTTTCTATACTTACATCATAAATTTTTCTCTCTGTGATTGTGAAACCACTGAATTAGTGCTTATCCAGGTTGACACAGGAGTTCAGTAAGAGTTCATGGAATCAAAAGTGGGAGTTGTTAGAACCCAGTATCAGATTACTGGGCTAAATTGAGAAGATCTCAGTGCAAGGGGAGCCACAAATGAATTCATGGTCCTTCAGTATTTTTGATGGGTTTTGGTTTGGTATTTATCAAGTAAACATGAAACTTTAATATTAATGTGATCCACACTTGGGAGGGAGTGTGCATGAGCAAAGTGTGTTCTCCTTAAATGCCATGCTCATTACTTTTACTGGAATCACCATGTTTAATGCATAGATTGGCAACCTGCCCTATRTACTTTAGCATATGACACAGTTGATTTAATAGTGTGTAATGGTGTAGTTGCTCTATAGAAAAGTTTTAATTACTCTATATTATACATGATTTCCTATTAACTGAGAATAGCTTCAACACATAAAGCCTACAGAAGATTTTCCAAAGAAAGCTAATGTTAAGAGACTGTTTATCTGTAAAATAAACTGTACATCTATCCCAGGAGCCTTTTTAACTGGAGAAAATGTGGCCAGCCAGTACTGTGTCAAACCTCATTATGCAGAACARGGCTGTAGCTGATCCAGTAGGTTTTGCAAGTCAACTCTTCACCTTGGCAGAGTCCAGTGAGGGCAAGATGAAATCCTGTATATGGGAGTGATAGACTAGGCTCACCTTCTTCTGCATTCCTGATGCTTCTGAGCAAACTCCCAAATTCATCTTGCTGGACTCCTTTCTGTCACAGCAAATACTTCTCTTCACAGGGAAATGTTGTATACCATTTATATCACGGATGTTTTTTTCCCTGATACACCAGTGGGAGACAAGCTTTTGGGCCATGTGGACAATATACCTTCCAGTGACAGGAAATGGGGATACACAAATCTGGCCCTGTTACACAGTCCTAAATGCAGGTAGTGCGAGCTGTATGTCCAGCAGATACCCAATACTTAATGCTTTCAGTGAAAGGGATGTTGAATGACGTCTTTTCTTTCATRTACTTCTATGTTAAACCGTTAATTACAAAAAGAAACTTAAAAAAATCTGCGCAGTTTGAACACACTTTAGTATTAATCACATTTGATATGCTTTACCTTGGTTAACTAAGGTGTGTGGGAGGAAGTTTCTCCTTTAATGGACAAAAATGTTTTTTGCATCAAGTAAATGTGTTAGAATGCTCAAGTGGTCATATTGGCAAGGCTGATATCCAGTACATTGGTATTAGTAATCAAGTGTTAGCAAAATTTGGATGTTGCCTTGTTTTCCTTAAGTAGGGGCAGAGATGAATGTAATTTCTTCTACAAAAACAGTCTTCATCTCCCTTGCAAAGTGTTTTTTTAGCAAGAAAAATTTCTTTCTTTTTTTTAAAGACTGTGGCAGGCAATGCCTTCATTTGCCACTTCCCCTTTTATTCAGAAATGAATTTCTGTGTTAGTGCCTGCTTCAATACAGCTGTGCTGGACAAAGTACCTGCTGTGAGGTACCTGCAGTAACCATACTGAGCATTCTCCCAATCTGTTTGAATGTCACCATCATACTACGGGCCACCTTTTGCAGGGATAACAATGAGGAGATTTCAATTGGTAATGATATATTCTAACCAACATTAATAAAATATCTGTTCTGGTATTACCATTCTAAATTTCTTTTCTGGGCTGTTTTGCCTGATTGAACAGCCCAGGCAAATAAGAAAAGTATAATATCCAAGTATTTTTGTTAAAGGAATGAGGAGTAGGTGTTCAAACGCTTAAAATGGGGACAGTATTTGGTGAAATATTTAGCAGTGGGAGAAATTAAATGCTTCAGCCTTAATGCCTGCTCCATCGTGTCTGTATGTGTTTTCAGATACTGTTGCTTACCATAGGAAGCTGTGATCAAAACAGYTCTGTTTGTGCTCTGTCTCAAAAGTAAATGAGCTAGTGGTTTTGTGGGCCAAAAGGACAGAATGCTCTGGCTTTGTAAGATTTACTGAATTCTTAATAAACTTGAGGAAGAGAGGAGCTCTGGGCTTTGCAGTTAGTTTGTGGTTTTAAATAAGCACATAAGCTTCTGACAAGCTGTAGTTACTCTAAGCAGGATTTTTGGCATTGAGCATTTCTCTTATCCAGCTGGAAAAACAAAACGAAACTCGGTTGTTAATGAAGCAACATTAGTGCATTCATCTTAGCAGCTCTTTAGAGCTAAGAAATCGACATTAAGTCCCTTAAAAGTGTAAATAAATCTGCAGGACGGTAAAATGGAGCATCGTCAGAGCTGGTGCATTGCAGCTCTGCCTTTAGGAAATGCAGCTTATTTAACCCAAGACATGATATTACTTTGCATTTAGAAGAATCCACAGCCAAACAACGTTTAATCCAGGCTCTCAGCTTGGACTGAAGCAATGGGTTTTTTTGGATTATTTTTTCCCACATCGCGGCAGTCTCCACACACAGTGAGCGGGAGTTCTTGTACCGATGATGTCATCGCCCAGTCTCCCCTCAGTCTCGCCACTACCAGGGGACACAGCCAGGCTCTCATTATTCACTGGCAACTGCCTTTGCTCACATTTTCTGCTGAAGACAGGCTGCATTTACTCATCTGCTGTGCATTTGCTTGGTTTCATTTGCGAGGGTTTTAAATATATTCTATGTGTACAGGCATACCTCTGATTATATAGAGAAGGTGGAGACTGCTGTGACTGATGGGGGAACTGAGCAGTTTGTTCACCAAGCATGTAATATGTTTGATTTTGGARCCATATTTATAAACATGCTGTATTTTAACTGGGTGATCTCATTGCTTGTGTGAAAGAGAGATAATAAAGACATGCTGAAGTCTTCATGCCTAGTGAAAAACATGTCCTCTGTAGCTCACAGAAAAAAAATGCATTTATCGCAGACAGAATTGTTGAACTAGAGCCACTTGCGAAGAGCTGAGTGGGAAATAGATGCAGAAACACTAGACTAAATAGGGCTAGATTAATTTTGAATTAAATGTATTTTTAAAAAATACATGTTAAACAGAAACAAAATCTCTGAAGAGATGAAAACACAAAAAATCTCTGTGTTGCACTCAATTGGATGAAACCTCACTAGGTGTGTCTGTGTGTCTGAATCAAATAAACTGACAGTTGAACAGTGTTTGGAAAAACAAACTTTTCTGGTCATGGTAACAGCTGTAATGGAATATATTTGTGTGGTGTGTACAAATCCTTGCTAAATGAACATGATTAAAACAGGGAAGGACACAGTTAAGTTTCCCCAAGTAATCTTAGCTCAGCCTTGGGCAGGCAACATTAATATTTTTATCTCCAAGGATTTCTTATCTTCCATGGTGGTCATGCTGGGGATTTTAGCAGTGGGTTTTGTGTGCAACACAAATCAAAAGTGTCAATGTATTCTGATTTCATAGTGAGAGGGCAAAAATGGACAAGTCTTAAGTGTGTAGGCAGTGCCCTAAGAACTGCAGGTATGAAGTACAGTTTCCTTCTCTTTTTCATGACCCAGCTTAGATGTGTGTATGAACTGGAGGGGAAATGCATTCCCCTTTCTTCACTGGTATCACCTTCCCCCACCCAAGCAATTCCATACTTGAGCCTTTGTGCATTCAGATTCATGTCTGAATGTTGTGCRCTGTTTTCTCATAGGTACAACTAACATACAAGTCTGTAAATTAACATCTGCTTTTTGCTGAGTATATGGCAACGTGAACCACTACCAGTTGAGTTGGCACATTACAGGTGAAGCAGCAACAAATTATCATTGTCAAAATCAGATCAGGTTTCAGAGATAAAGAGACTTTGGGTTTTGGGTTGTTACAGAGGGTGGAGAGAGAAGAAAGCTTTTTTAAAAAGAGAAGTTAATATTGGTGCCTATCTGTCATTTAGGTACGTACATCATGACAACTGCCCTGCTGCCTCTTCTGGAAAAAGAAGCTGATTCCAGAGTGGTGAGTCTGTGATGCTCTTTAAAAGAGGTGTTTTACTATTCTTATCTTCTGGTTTCTGACAGCAATTCTCTGATTATGTTAGCAATGCAGGATTAGTTATAATGCTGTAAGGATCTCTAGAATCCTCTTGGATATTGCTAACAGAAACATCCTTCTCTAAGGCAAAGCCTGCTGCTCTCAATCCTTCACTGGAAATCAGAGTAAAACACCTCATTTGGAACCCTCTTAGTTTCCCTCGGGCAAGTTACCTCCTGCAGTAGGGTGCAGAATACCTACAACAGGAATATAGACTTCAAAGAGCTTTACAGATCTTGGTGTAAAATAAGACAGCAGGTACATTTTTTTAAAACAAAATTTCCCAAGTTTTGTTTGGCTTCTGATTACCTTCTATGAATGCTAAACACGCAGACTGCAAATAGCGCTATTCTGCTATTTTCTTTTTCCCCATTAYGTTTCAAAATGAAGAAGCACAAAATTCCTGAAATGAATCAACATCACTTTGAATGAAAGTCACTTCCTAATAAAACTTGCATATCTTCCACTTCATCTCCATGTGTGCTCCACTCCTGAACATAAGCATAATGCAGAGTATGCAGAGGAATCCTGCTCCATGGGGACTTCCAGCTATGGCCTGAAGACTACATTGCATGCATGACTGCATCTGTGGGGTGTTCCTGGTTTTGCTTTTCATTCATTTGCTTTTCATTCATTTCATTACAGATAACTGTCTCTTCTGGGGGCATGCTAGTTCAAAAATTAAACATATCTGACTTGCAGTCGGGAAACGGGCCATTTGATGGAACTATGGTGTATGCACAGAACAAGGTACAGTCCATGGGATTGAAAAAAAAGGCCAGCACTTTTTTGCTGGGCAGCTCATGCCATCTGCTTTGGAAACAGCCTGCTGTACACTGCTGCTTTCCTGTTGCATCTAACCCATACAGAGATGCACAGGCAATAATCTTCAGAAGTATGATGGCGTGCCCTTAGGAATGCATGCATTCTTACATAGATAGCATGGCTAGACTGTCATTTGATGTGATAGAAATCCCAAGGGGGAGCCCTGTCTTCAGCTGATGATCCCTGTCTGCCTGCTTAGTTCTTGCCCGCAGTCTGCAGCAAGTAGACGTGGTCAATAAAAACGGTGCATCTGCTTTAAAAGTAAACTTGTGACCAGCGTATGGATGGCAGTGACTGTGGAAGTCCCTGATGAAATTATCCAATAAATCCAGTCAGGATGAGCAATGGTATATTTCTGCTGTACATAAATGCTCTGGTATTTATGGCACATTTGATGTAGTTTATTTCCCTGGGAGCTAATTTGGTGGGCAGGCTGCTAAACTTGGTGCTAGTGTGGCTCTTCCTGCTCTCTCCTAGAGACAGCAAGTTGTCCTGACAGAACAGTGGGCAAAGGCTCACAGGAACATCCATTTCTCCGTAATGCACCCCGGCTGGGCAGACACTCCAGGTAACATCTGCCTCACACACTGACAGTACTTTTTTCTTTTCAGGATTAGTCTAAAAGCAAAGAGAAATGAAACTTCCTAGTATATTTTTYCAACAGGGGCAGTAATTTCTTTTCTCCAAACTGGTGCTTGAAGTAGTTTTATATCCCCTTGGTGGCTCTATTCTGCACAGTGTCTGCTAGCTGTGTATATCTAGAGAATAATAATGGGCAGTGAATGCTTCCAGCCCTGCACCAATGCACAGCAGAGACATAGTTCTTTAAGGGAACCTGTAAGTTACATTTGTAGTGGACCTGTTAAACACACACATGGAGCTTCTGCCTCTGTAAGTACCAACATACAGGCATTGGGAATTTGTGAGAGCATGTAGGAGAATGGAGAATGCACCATTGTGCAAGCCCTGTTCCTCTACTCTTCCTCTAAACATTTACTGCTGTTGAGAAGCAGTTTGGCCAGACAGCCCTCTGTCTGAGCTGCAGCTGTTCCTCAGTGAATGTGCCTCAGGAAGTGGGCCAGCATCAGTCATGCAATATGCATGGTGCATTCCCCAGTGTTACCAGCCCCCAGTGCCCAAGTGCCCAAGCTTGGGATGCAGAATAGCAGTTCTATCTCTAGGTCTTTTATAGGGATGCAGTTTCCAAAATTTCCTTCTGATGACAGAAGCATTTACCCTGTCTACTTTATGCTTGAAAATAGCTCTTTCCAACTAAATATCTTGGTATTTATTTTCCTTTAAAATACATTTATTTTTGCACTTTCTTTGTGGATTTCAAACCTAATGAACYATAAAGTTACCCCACCTTAAAGTTCAAGGACTCTCCAAACCCAAAAATAAACACCTATAGTGGACAGGCCTTCAGTCTGTTGAACAAAATAAAATGAAACCAGAGTTCAGACAGGAAGTATGCAGTTTTTAAATACAGTGCTGCAACTGGTTTCCTAAAAGTGGTGAGAAAATAAGAGCTAAAAATCCCATTAGAATACCTGGTTTTTGGAATTTCTGTTTCTCCTGTGTTTCTCATCTTTGCAGTTTAGAATGGAATTGGCATGGGAACCTCTCACTGATCCTCTTCTCAGTTTTGTCCCTGTAATTTGATCCAAACAAACAACTGGTGGATCATCTGGCAGCTTAGCGCTATTCTTCCACATGCCAGCCTACTCCCAGATATGGGTAAATTCTCATTTTCTTCCAAAAGCTCCAGAGATGCCTTCTCTTCTTCCTACACAAAAAATGGCAAAATGATCCTTTTTTTTTTTTTTTTKTATCACAAAAGCCTGACATGGCAGGCCACCATTCCATTATTATCTTTTACAGCTGTGAGATCATCCATGCCCGATTTCTACGAGAGGATGAAGAATTCACTGCGCACAGATGCCCAGGGAGCTGACACCGTCCTGTGGTTGGCAGTGTCAGCTGAAGCAACAAAGCTTCCCAGTGGCTTGTTCTTCCAAGGTAAGGAGGCAGTGTCTCAGAATGTGTGATTGGAGATCCCCAGGCTGCCTGAGCCTCACATCCCTGCCTGGCCTGGAAGGGGATAAAGGCTGGACCAGGCAGCTTGTTCAAAGGCTAAGGCATTTCTCAAAGTAATTTCAAGCCTAAATGTTTGCGTGAACATCATTTTAAGTTGTTATATTCCTGCTTTTGTCCTCTAAAGTAGCTGATAGAGACTTCAAAGCATTTCTTTAGGGAGGGTTGGGGACTTTTACAATGGAAATGGCTGCATGGAGGACTTGGTGAAGGGAAGGTGAATCACAGCAGTTGAACAGCATCTTTTGGGATGCTAGGAAACAAGCATGTTTCTCACAGAGCTCTGGGAGTTGGCTTTGCTTTGAAAGGTTCATCTTCCTACTATTCCATGCTAGTTAAAAGTGCCAATTCCCCTTTTCTCTAACACTGGGCAGAGACTTGAGCACAGTGGCGTTTTTAGCACTGGGAGCTTAGGGAACAGAAAAGTAGGGCGGAGTCTATCTTCACTCCCAGACAAATAACAGGCATCTTTGTGGGAGCAGCTGGAAGCAGGGATGCCTCAGTGGTGATGCAGGTCAGCCCAGAAAGAGAAAGCTCAGGATAATTGCTTACAGAAGCTTTTGTTGGATGTGGCACTCAAATCCTCATTCACTGAATTTCTATACAGAGAATGCAGGAAGTTCTGACTTCTACTGATTTGGGTTGACTTTGTCCCTTCTGTCCCACAGTCAGTCACACAGAGTTGATTTGACACCGGACTCTTGCCTTTGGCCTTCATCTACTCCCACCTTTGGTAAATAAGAAACATGCCTTTTTAGCCAAAGCTATTGACTTTTGAGAGCTTTGGTCCTGGCATGACTGGTCTTCAAGCTGCAAGGGAAGCCCTATGTCTGTGTCCTGTGCTTACCAAATAGTGGTGAAGTCAGTTATTTCCCTCTCCTACTGCCTTTTGGAAGCTGCAGCTTAGTATGGGCACTCTTCAGGTCCTTTTAGTAAAGAGTTCGGGGTGCAGGAGCACTTTACCACAGACCCCATGCTTCTGTTCCTAGGCAGGCATTTTCCAAAGCAGTCACACTTTCCCTCCATTTTCTGCATTCTCTTTTACTGTTCCCTCTGAGAGCAAACCAAAGCCAGCTTTTCTTTTTTTTTTTTTTCCTAAGAAAAAAATAAAGGGAAGTGAGAACATGACTAGTACTACCAGAATTGTCTGCATCTGCCAAAATAGGTAAAAAATGTTTAGCAGAGACCTGCTTTCCAAAGAAAAGCATCTTCTCTGTGGTGCTGAACTTGGCTTTCACACCTGGTTCCCAAATTCTAGCACAGGCTACTGGAAGCACTGTGCCTAGGTAGGAAGCAGTTCATAATAAGCGATGGAGAGCATTCCTCTGCATGTWTTTCTCTCCTCAGTTTTCCATGAGCAGAAGTTATGTGTTGTGTGCAGTCAGTTAAAACATTTGCGCTTAAGAGAGCAAACATCTCTGCTCTCCTGGGAAGCCCAGTGGCAGCCTGATAGGTTTTCAGGGAAATCTGCTGCTCAGGGTTGCAGCTTGTTCTTTTCATCTCAACAGGCTGCTGCAGAAGTTGGGCTCAATAAATAGACTTAACAGTGCTGCACCAGTGCTCTCACTGTTGTTCTRTAGACATGTGACAGCATTGTCATAGGGCTCCTGGGCTCTTGATACCATGTTTTTGGAGGGGAAAATCCCTTAGAGTGGATGGTAATAACAGCTGTATTGACAGTGTGAGTGACAGGTATGAGATTTGGAAAACCAAGCAAAGCACCAAACTGAGCAAATTTGGTTGGATACAGGTCGCTTATGGCGACTGAACAATAAGCCCAAGTTTCTTTGCATTTAGAATTTAACCATTGTTTCTAAGGATGAAAGCAAGCATTTTAAGATTGAAAAAAATCCTAACTACRAAGTCCCAGTGGGGACTTAAGTAGTACTAGAAACATTATCCAGGAGGCAAGGAAAAATGTTATTTCAAGTGGAAAAGCATCCTCTGCAGCAACAAACTCCAGCTATCGCTCTCTGCCTGCGGGTGTTGCACTAGTGACAGACATAACATCACAGAGAAGCCTTCCTTTTTCTATACTGTCTCTAGCTGCAAATGGGGGCTTGCTGCACAGTCCAAGTCACATCATGCTACAGGAAAATCCCTCTAGTTCCAAAATACAAGTTGAATTAGTTTTGTTCTTGGTTTAGAAGATATGCCTAACTASCATTTTTTATGGGTACCTAGAAGGTAAGCTTCCTGCGTCAAAACCCTGAGGTATGTTTGGCCAGTACAGAGCCCAGCAGAAAAAATCTCCTTTCTGCTAGAAGAGAGAGTTAAATGTACCCATAAGGTGGTTTTTTCTTTTTCTTCCAGACAGGCAAGCAGTCCCTACGCACTTACCCCTGGCATGGACCCATAGTTCACCAGCGGATGAAGAGAAACTAATGGAGGTGCTGGAAGAGTTTTCCCAGAAGTTTAAATCTGTTTCTCTAGGAACTTAGTATCTCTGCTGACATAATGTCACCACRAAGCTTCTAATTACACAGTAGCCCTACTGAGGGGAAGTAGGATACCATAGGTCTGTTAAAAATGAATTGRGTTCAGATGTTCTTATAATGAGGTGGTAGTGACACCTGTGTCATTTTTTTTCTGCTGCCAAGTCTCTCCTGTTGTGAATATACACCTGCTCTCTTGAGACACACTAAGATTGTGTTCCTTGGAATGGAAGGAAAATAGAGAGGCATTAAAACAAACCCCAAGACTTTGTAAAGTTATTAGAATAATTTAAAATAATCAGCATAGAGAAATTCAGAGGAGTGTACCTTCAGTAGCCAAGGACTTCAGGAAAGAAGTGAGAATGTTTTAAATGACTTAACTGCTGTATTTGACAGGTTGGTGGCTTTCTTCACAACATGAGGGTGATTGGGCTTAAACATATAACTGGGAATTCAGAAACTCTTTTGCAGAGCCTGCTTAGTTTAAAGGGAAGGATTCCTCACGGCCTTCAGTTTCTATAAATCAGTGATGGTATGCAGAAATTATCTGCTTCCTCATGTTTAAACAGCAAGAATTTAGGAACACTGCCAAATGCCTTCTACATTAGTTTATGGAGCTAGGGCTAAATATTATCCCATTTATGTCAAAATACCATGAAGTAGGAGGTTTCAACACATAACACACCCAGACATGGCTGGATCCAGCAAAGAAATGGCTGCATGACTGCAGGCATGAAAAGAAACAACATGCTAAGTTGTACCTGCTTGCCATTTCTGTGAGAGATTGAAGGGAATGGCTTTATCATTATGAATGGATYAAGAGGGGAGGGGAACACTGGCAGAGCACAGGTTTTAGAGGAGAATCCACCTCTTGATGAGAGGRTTGTATTTTGTCTGGATCTGTTTACTTCCAGACTCAGAGGACAGGATTTATCTTACCTGATCTGTAGACATTTGAATTACTCAGTGAGTTTCTCACTGTAAACTGGTAGAGAAAAAACGCTTTTTTCCCCACAGATTTACTGGATCTAGTTTAAGAAACACCACCTAGAGTGCTGCATCTTTCTAATAGTGCTGAAGACAATCGGCTCAGACTAAGATATTCAGGTGGGATTCATTTTTTTGTAATTATTTCAGATTCACTACAAACCCAAGACTATTATTAACAAGAGTGGCAGCACCTTTTCTCCTGAACTGAGTGTGTTTAACTAACAGCCTTCAGAACCCAGCCAAGCTGCTGCACTGATTCACGTGTGGCTCACACCGGTGTGGTAGGACAAAGGACCTAAACACAAATTTAACACAGGTATTCTTGAGCTCTCTGCAGCAGCTGGGAGAAAAGACTGCTGATGGACAGAGGAAAGCTCTTTATGTCTATTTTATGTAATTTAGTTTCCTCCTGTCTGATGGTATTTCCTTATTATTCAAGACCTCCTATTAAATATCAGTTTAGGAAAAATCTACTTTTTTAGCTTATTGTCAGTCTTGGAAATAAAGACTCTACTGTCAGAAAGGCCCTGAGATATATTTTCCCATGATTAGCAGTGCTGAGACAAGTCAGGCTGTCACAGCTCTTCCTGAAGCATGAGCATTTGCCTCATTTATAAACTTAACTCTTTCTTGCACTACAGTGAAAGAAAACAACAGCAAGGCTTGTACAGAGGTTTATTTCCTGCAAGTCTGGTATTAACATTTTCTGTGGTTCCAACTTTTAAATACAGTAACCCAGAACAAGAGCATGGCTGGAAGCATATATAATAACTACGTTTCTTAACCCTGTAGCTGCAAGGCTAATGAAAACATTTACATTCTTTAGTATTTAAGTCAATTTTTTCTCAGCTCTGCCATACAGAAGAAAAGTTTAATGACTGGTATTTAAACAGTTCATGAAAGTAAAAAGTGCACTAAATACATGTATTTAACACATTTTCATCCATGTTTTGCACTACTGTATTTGAATAGCCTATGCTTTTCATTTTAAGTCACAGCTTAAAAATGCAGCCAAAGTTAAGAAAACTGCTTTAATCAAAGTTTGGTCACAGTGTAAAAGAGTAACATGCCATGGTTTAAGAGCACTTGTGATTTAAAAAGAACTAAACCACAGGAACAGCAATTAGAAACAAAGTCCAGAGTCTCACACTTTGGTATTATGGTCCTGCTGATGCTTTATTTCAGCCCGATTCCACAAGAGCAAACATGGCATGTGGCTGCAAGCCAGCCAGAGGATTTGTGTTAATGCAATTCAGAATGACTTATACCCTCATGTAAGTGAATACATTGACAGGATCACAGATTATGCTGAGTTGGAAGGGACCCACAGGGATCATTGAGTCCAACTCCAAAATGGCAAGCAGTGACAGATGACCAGAAAATGAAGGTGGCACAAGTCCTTACTAAGCAGTGCACACTGGGGACTTGAGAGCACACCTGGTTTGTGGGAATGGAATGACAAGCACAGCAGCTGCTCTTGCTGCCCTTTCCTGTCCATGCACAGCCCAGCACATCTTGTGGCAGCTTTGAAGCTTCTATGACTGATCTCATTCTGACAGCTTTACATTTTTCTTTATTTGGTGAAGTCACCTAGGTGGGAAGTTTTTGCTCTCAGGGATTTTGCACAGGAATGTAGCACCACAGAGTGCCTGTGGAGTTGGTAATTTCCCTACATCCTAATGGAAAGGCACAGCCCATCATCAGTTCAGTGGGACAGACTTGCAGTGATGCAGGAACCAATACAACTTGTTTGTCTTGGATGAAAATTTTAGGAGGTCAATGTAACAGGTAGCAAACAATTTTGTAAACTCCATTTCATTTTAAGTTTCCTTTCTGAATCATCTTTATTCATTGTTAAAAAATACCCAGCAAACTAAATCAACCTGTTATTGATTAAAGGTGTAAAAATTGTTTGTTGTCTTTGAATGGGGGCATTTCCATAAGTACCTCAGTATTTTGGAGTAAACTGCAAATGCCAGCTGTTGGTATTTGCAATAACATACATGCCAGCTTCTGTGTTCCACTTGCTGGGAAAAAGGTGTGAGCAGGGCCACCCCTTCTCATTAAATAAGACTCAGGTGGGACATTGAACATGCACTTCCTGGGCTCAGAGAAGGGAGTTCTGCTATATCCTTCATTGTAGCCTGACAAGTCAGTCCTGTAAATCTCAATGGAAATAAATTTATTTGGTGGGGAACAGTTCCAGCCATTTCAATTGTCAGTACAAGCATTAATTTGTATTTTAGTAAGGACAGAGCCTTTCTAAAAGCCATGGCACTTGGAGGAGTGCTAGTTTTCATTAAGCAGTGGTAAACTTGGTGAGAGGAGAGTGAACATGGAATTACTCTTTCAGGGAACAGTCTGATGGAACAGTGGAGGAGGGCTGCTGTAAAGGAGTTTAATCTGTAAGTTACTCTGTATGTTACTCTCTCACCCTCCCTGAAAAAATAAAGTGCCCATCTCGTGACACCAGATCATACTTATCTAAAATTAGTGCTGGTCAACATCTACCCACTGCCATTTTAAACAGGCTGTTTCCCCTCTGGCAGCGCAAAGCTTTACATCTTCCCAGGCTCAGCTCATTGTATTTCCGTTTGTCTCAGGCTTGCATCTCTTGTTTTGTTGGGGGAGGTAATTCTGGGCACATTCAGGCAGAGGCAGTGACTGCTTACAGGAGATAATGCAGCTAAGATGATTCAAAAACTCTCTATTCCTGCACTCACCCAAAAAGCGCTGATTGAGACAATGAGAGAAMGAAGGCTTTGAAAAGGCCCCGAGTCTGATGGGGAGCAAGTGCAACAAAACCACTTCAGTGACAAGAACTTCAATATGTGAAGTAGTTCAGTATTTATGTTCCTGTCTCTAGAGGGAGCCATCAGATAACCTTAAGGAAAAATGATGTATTCCTCTGAAGGAAATTGGTTCTCTCAAAACAAAAGCTAATGCTCAGCTTTATGAAGAGACACAGTGTCAGCCTGGCCAAAGGTCTTCAGCAGGACAGGTTTCTACCCTGCTGTCAGGAGAAACAACACAAACCTTTGCTGTACCAGCAGTGCCAGTGCTATTTCACAGATACAAATATTGTCCAAACAGAGGAAGAGTGGTGAAACCTGCACTTGTATAAATTTCAGGGAGAGGTCCCAGGAAGTAMTGTTTTCTTCGATGGTTAAAAATCTTGAGCGTTTTCCTTTTACTTTTCAGTTCAGAGTCCACAATCCATGCGAAGTACTGGAGCGATGCACAAAACTCTGCAATTCCTCCACTGTCCACCCTGTTTCCTTTGGGCTTCTCATCCCAAACACTCAGGGCAAAGGACATGTCCATATAAGAGTTGTCAGTTTTATGACAATTCAAAGAACAGGCAGGTGAATGAGTCCAGTCAAAACTCAATAAACCAAACTCYTCATTACACACATAGAGAAGAAAAAGAAATAGCAAAAAGCTAATAGAAATTAATTTAGTGGGGTTAAGATACCACAATTTATTCAGCTATATCAGAGACACATTACATAATGGAACAGTACTGGAAATTGTTACAATGTAATTGGTAGAAAAGATGGTCAAATCGCTGAGGAGCATTCCTACAAAACTTTAACCTGAATAAAAGCCAGTAAGACCTTTTTCTTATATAAAATCCCTCTAATCAAAAAGACAACAAAGCCTACGAGATACTGGTCAGTATGACAAACCTAACTGACATAAGCAATGGTCAGCCTTTGGAAAGATAAACCACAGCTAAAACTAGTGCTAATGATAAAGATGTAGCAAGTAAGTTTGTGTACTTGTTAATTTGTGAAAATTTCTTGCCACTTGCTGTGGCAACCCTGCAAAATTTTCTTGGGACAGGAAAAAATAGTGGCGGGTGTTAGTGATAGGTCTTTCACATCTGAAGGGAACCCACACCTGTTATAAAATTCAAGTATAAAGATGATAAACCCTTTAATATATTCAGATTATTTAATGTCTAAAGAACAAGTAACCAGAGGGAGGCTAAACTATCTTCATAAGGCCTGACATCTCTTCTGCACCATCTCAGTAGTGATGTGCCTCTTCCGAATCCTTTTAATGTTGAAGTGCTTATGTATTTAATGCAGTTCTCAAAAAACTAGTTGAGGTAGATAAATATTAGTTGGCAATTAAACCAAAGAATAAGAAATGGAAGTCAAATCTTCATAGATTAGAATAATTCTATGTTTCTTGCAGCTTCTGGATTTGAACCATGGCTGCTGGCTGMCTTAGAGTGCTGGGATGGTTTAGCTTTATACATTCTGATTAATATTAATTTCTATACTATAGGTGCTTTTTTGGGTGGGAGGGTTTGTTTTGTTTTCCACGTTTGGGGATTTTTTGTATGCTGATAACATTCTTTCTTGGTATCTCCTCTTTGCAAAAACTTTGCCAGAACTGTGCACTCATTTTCATTTTGATTTGAGTTCAGTGTTCCTATTTGGCAGAGGTTTCAATTTAACTCAATCTCTTTCTCTTCTGAGCTGTACAATGTGTCCTGCAGCAAACCAAATTTCAGAGATGGCCAAAGACTGCTCACAAGGGAAAATCCCCAACATGGGAAATAGCCATGAAAAGTCACATGTGATCACACAAAGTTAATCTCAAATCCCAGAACTTCAGGTTATTGGCAAATTAGGTACCACTTTTTTTTTTTTTCCTTTTCCTGCCAACATTCACAAGATGCAATTTTGAAGAGAAAAATCTGTGTCTTCCTCAATATTACATAAGAGGTCACCAGTGAAGGGACTTAGCACATTAGTGTGTGCTGAAAAAAGGATCAAGTTTGTGGTTACTGTTGCATACTATTACTACACGTTAAAAAAAAAGTCTTCTGAGTACTAATTGAAAACATCCTATGTGCTCAATGTGGTCTGCTGGAAAGGCCTGTAAAACCACACATGGTAGCCCTATCCCCTATGTGCTACAAAACAGAATTTGGTTCGCTGCTACACAAATCCTRTTTGGAACAGCAAGAACAAACAGCTAATATTTGCTAATTTGTTAGTAACTAATTTGGTAGTAGTTTAGATTTAAAGAAAGATACTTTTTCTTCTCTAAGTAATAAAGTGGACACAGGCATTAAGTGAAATTTGAATCACAGAATGGCTGAGGTGAGAAAGAACCATCAAAGGTCAGCTGGTTCTGCTCACGCAGAGTCACGTAGAGATGGTTGCCCAGTATCGTGTCAAAGTGGGTTTTGAATATCTCCACAAATTACCTGCCTGGCCAGTCTCTGCCTGTGCTCAGTCACTCTTAGAGTAAAAATTGTTTCCTGATGGTCAGAGGAAAACTCCTGTGTTTCAGTTTGTGCCCATTGCCTCTGGTCCTCTCACTGGACACCAGTGCATCCTCTTTGTACCCTCCCTTCAAGCATTCGTACAYATTGAGGACATTCCTCTGAGCTGCCTTTTCTCCAAGCTGAACAGTCCCAGTTCTCCCAGATATGCTCCAGTACCTTCACCATCTCAGTGGCCTTTTGCTGGACTCCATCTGGTAGTTTCATCTCTCTCTTATACTGGGAAGCACAGAACCAGACAGAAAAAAATGTCAAATATTCCTTTCTAACAATGATTTCCTCAGCAGGTATAAGACAAACCTTTTTTCCCCCTGCAACTGTTTTGGATCATCCGTTTTGCATATCCAGCCATCCACCTTCTTATCAACAACCAACCCCATTCAGAGGGAACACATCCCTCGCTTTCCCAGTACTGGAGATACTCATACCACTATCTCAGGCCAAGTGCAGTAACCACTACTGCTGTACTAAGAGCCCACATGCTGACATTCAGGTGATGGCCTCAAGTTCAGAAGGACAGAGTAGGGAGGTTACCTGAGCTTCCCTGCAAAAAGCAGCTGCAGAAAGGGGCTCGGAGCTGAGCACACCAATGTCACTGTCAGGATTGTCCTCTGTCAGACTGGCTGACTTTTAGCCCTATGCAYTACCCCGTTTCAACATCTAACCATGATGTTAAGTCTCCTTGTAGACAGGAGGACCATCAATGCTACATTGCAAGCAGTTGCCCACTTTTTTTTCCTTCTTTTCCCTTCACTGAAATACTTTCAGCTTAAAAAACTGAAGTAGGGTGCTCAGATTGCCCCATCTGGGACACAAGTGGCTTTAGCAAGGTGCTCAGGCACCGTCTATGTGACCAGTGCCTGCCCCATCCCCTGCCTCAGCACTACAGACACTGCTCATTTTAAAGCCAAGAAGAGCAGGCAGATGCTCTGGAGAACACTTTCTTTCCACAAGGAAACACCAGGGAGAAATGAAAATCTGCTTTTCTGAGGTGAAGAGCAGAGGGAAGGCAGCAGTGTTTGTATGCCCCTTGTCACACCACAAGGTATCACTAAAAGTTACTGCCCTTCAGCAATCCCAGGGAAAGGGGACTTGGCTTCATTTGAGTGTGTGTGTATGTGGCACTGCATTGTTTGCACCTATATCAAAACACACCCTCCTCCCATCCTCCAATAATGCAATTTATAAAAATAGCTCAGATTTGTTATTCAGCAAGTAAAAAGGGGAAAAAAAGGGCCAGGCAAGAGGAATTCCTTTTTGTAGGGATCTAGTAGACAGAAGAAACTGAGATAGCTACTCTAATAAAACAGAAGAGGAAGGCAGGCATTTTAACTCTCCCAGTGTCAAACCTTCATGTTTCATTTGGAAAGTAAAGGAATTATTGAATTAGAGACAGCTATTTTCCCTTCATATCTCTACATTATAGCTCTTATGGACATTGCAAAGGGACAAATTTCCCTTCCCTCCTCAGCTTCACTTTCAGCTTATATAATTTTCTAAGCCCAGATCAGTTTGTCCTGAAAATGCAAGATAAGGAGATGTTCAGCTTAAATCCAGATAACTCTGCAGGTCGTTCAGTCAGAAAGAATAGCCAGGAAAATTTTGCAAGATGGTTTTACATACCCCACATGCACACATAAGCAACACTGAAACCAGGACTCCTTGAAAGACAATGGGGGATCCGCCAAGAGCTTGTTGCAGAACAGCCCACAGGTCATTCCCAAATTTAGTCTCTTTTGAAAATCAGTTCTTCACCTTTGTTTGCACATTACATTCTCAGGACTAGGTGCTGACCCAGGGGCAGATCCTCAGTTTGCTGACTCCACCACTCCATCAGTGTGAGCGCAATTCTGCTGAAGCCCCAGACTTGGTTCCAGCGCTGACTCCTCAGGAACTGAGCACTAAACAACAATTTAAATTCACTTTCGGTGGACCCATGTTTCTGTCACCRTGAAATGCACTCCCTGCACAGCACAAGTCAGGTCTTTGGCCAAAGGGCCCTGAGCCCAAGGGAACATGGAACACCATAATCCAGAAAAACTTGGTACAAATTCTCCAGCTGGAATGAAATACTGGCAGGCCACTTGCTCATCTTGCATAGCTTTGACAGCCAAGAACATTTCAGTCATCAGTAAACATGCACAAGGTGTAGTGAAAAGCATTCCAAGAGGAAACAACCATCTCATTTCCAGGAGAGTAAGTGGGAGGACTGAGAAAACAACTTTCAAGCTGGAAAAATAATAGTGCTGTGTGAATGATGTTTGAAAATGCACTTTAAAATATGCTRTCTAGAGGGGAACCAACAACAGGCTGTACAACCAGGAAACCTAAGAGAACATGGCAGCAAAATATACTTCATCACAGTTTACAGAATGTTTAAAAAGAGAATTTTCCTGAAAATACATAGCAGTCGTGTGTCATGCACATGAAAGTCCACTCTCCTGTTACTGCAGCACTGGACCAGAATTAATGCCATGGATTGTGATAACGTTTTTTTTTTTTTTTTTTTTTTTTTTTTTTTTTTTTTTCTTTTGGCCTCAAAAAAGCATTACTACTGGGCAAACAAAGGAGAAGCTTTGTTTTCTTCTGGCATTCTCACTCAAGAGAGAACACAAGGCTTCTCCAGCATTGTGCTCTGTAATGGCAAACACCATGGCCTCCCCATACAGAGGGAAAAAGTCCAAAACAAGGTGAGACTGAGCACCACTAATGTGCTGAGTCACAGCAGCTACAACCACAAGGCCTGCTGAAACAGGAGATACAGGAAAGCCTTTGGTCTGGTCTGCACTTCTATTCTCTACACCAGTTTTTTCAAAGTGCATGAGTAATACCATCCTAAAAATAACATGGATTAATGGAATGGAGTGTTGGATCTTCAGAGAAGGTTCCTTTGAACAAATGGGCTTTTTTTTTGTTTATTCAGCTCGACAATGTCATTCTAAAAAGGTAATTTTGGTCAATCCAGGTTTTAAAATACTGTTTATTTTTAAGAGAAACTGTAAAGTATGATAACAGGACAACAGGCATCATTCAGGAATATCACTTTTGGGTCTATAAAGGAATTTAATAAAAACCATCAATGTTTTAAAAAATAAATATGACTAACCATAYGGAAAACAGGAAAAACAAAATTCATCTTTGACAACACAGACAGGTACAAAGGCTGAAATGCTGCTGTGCAAGGTAGAGGTAGAGGTAGAGATAAACCAGACTTTTCAGATCTTGACCAGTTTTAGAACTGCCTCCCTCCATGCACACACTCCCAAAAGTTCCTGTTGCAAATAATTTCATTTGAATCAGCCTGTCRGTCTCATCAAACTCAAACAAGTCTGTGTGCTGCTTGTAATGCTCGGAGCTGGAAAACCGTTTCTGTTTTCTGTAGAAATCAGTTGCTGAGTAACCCCTGGTTTTGCGACTTGTGCAGCAAAGGAAGAGGCAGGATGACTATACAGACCAATGAACGCTCTCTGGATGATGCTCACTAGGACAAGTAGATGGTAGAGCCCTTTTAGGAATTGCAATAGTCCATCAGCTCCTCAATGATGCACCCAGAGACTGTGCCTGGAGTTCCTCCTCTGGAGAGATCATGRTCAGCAGAAATATCCCAAACCAACAGGTACTGGCTGCAGAGAGGACCGATTGCCTTACACAGTCTGTTGACACTGAAAACTCACAGAGGAAGACACAACCCAAGAACCTCTGTACAAAGCAGCAAGTATCTTGACATAGTGAAATATAAAAACTAAAAATTGCACTGCACACAGATTTTTCCAAACAAACTCAAAACAACCAAAGTCAGATCGTACAAACTGTTAGTTAAAAAAATACCTTCTTGTATATTTTGAGAAGTGGAAAGAGTCTCCGTGCAAATATTCAGCCTGGATCAAGCAGAGGACATAAAGTTGTTGTAAACACATTAGTTCCTTTCTCATCTGCCGTATGCGCCCAGTGTTATCTATCTTCTGCAGTATCATTAGGGTTAGGAAATCTGCTTCTTCTGTAAATATCACCTTTCAAGTTCCACTGATGTAACATCAAGACACTACTGGTGTCATATCCCACAACTGTTAAATACAATAAAATATAACAACACAATGAATAATAGTAAATGACAATAAAATGAAATGACAATAAATATGAAATCTTCAAATAATTGCACCTTCTTTAATTAGGAGGRGCTACATGTTTAGAGATGGATGCAACAATGAAGAGATTTGATTTCATTTTCCAGCATTTATGTCAGAGTGGTGGAGGTTGACCAAATGACATACTGTATGTCACTATATTTCACCTGTATAAGCCAGGTTCATAGCTGGCCTTAAAAGAATCCAAAAACACTCCCACCACATTACTAACTTCAATGATCAACATAGTTGTAACACACTGTAAGGGTTTTGGTTTTTTAAATTACTTCTTAATTACTGTTATAACTTAGTCATTATTTTATCTATTTCTTTATCTAGCCACACTGTGATTTGGCATGTTGAAAAATAGTTGGTCTCCCTCAAGGGAAAGCTAAGGTGAGCACTTGTCCCAGTCCCTTCAGGCAGTACCTTCATAGATAAAGGTTTCCTTGGTTCTTATTGGGCAGAAATAAATCAGTGAGAAGTCTTTAGGTGGAAGAAGGCAGGTATGATATCCCTGCAGCCAAATGCCATGGGGAAGGAAGATGAAATACAGGAATTACAGCTCATTCCTGGCTCCTACCTTAATAACCTTGTCAGTGCCTGAGGTCAGCAGCCATCCCCTGGTGGCATCGAAATGTACGTGAACAATGTTGTGCTTACTGTCATGGAAAGTGGCTGTAGGTGCCCGCCTGAAGAAAGAAATCCAAAAATCAGCAAGAACTGTAATTGCAGCATTTCCCCTCCAAATGTTCTCTATTGAGGAAGTAAGTATTTGAATGCTGCTGTAAGCCATTAATTCAGCAGCTACTCTGTAAACTGCACTTTAAGACCTTCCTGGCATGAAAGGAACAGGGGTRTGGGGCTCTCTGTCCCTCCTGGCTTGATATCCTTCTTCTCCTGCTGAGAAAGCCCGGGACCACCCTGCCAGGCTGCTCCTTCCTAGCACCTTGCACCCGCCGAGACCCTTCCAGATGGAGGAGTTTTGCCCCATTCCAGTGTCCACACTTACTCCTCATCTGTTATGGACTCATGGCAGCTGTCACAGACCCTCACTTCAAACTCGAACCCCATCAGTGGGATGGAGGAGCGCTTAGAACTGCATTTCCCGCACACGGCTTTCCCACATTTCCGGCAGTGATGCTGTAGGAGACAACAGGCAGAAAGACATCTCAGGCCACAAACCCAGATCAGGTCACTGCTCAGGTCCACTGGCTCTACCACCTCACTCCAGCAAGACATGATGCAGCTCAGCTCTGCTCCAGACACTTTATTTCTCAAGTTCCATGAGAACACGGAGCACTTTTACACCCCTTTAGTATAAATCTGCAGCCTTCTCCTGATAGGCAGGAAAATACAGTAGTATGTTTCAAGCAAAGTAAGCCTGTTCCAATACAGCCTGAGCAGTTACAGATGTTTATCCAATCTCATTAAAACCAGCTTTGATTCCAGCACAATCTCCAAATATCAGCTGTAAATTTCTTCCTATAACAATTTTGATTAACAATGAGCAAAGTCCCACATGGCTAAGTTCATGGAAGGCCCCAAACAATCTACTCAGCCCAAGGCCTATTGCTGTGGGGTTGATTGGAAAAAAACCAGCGTATTCCTTTCAACTACAAAATCAAGCCTCAGAGGGGAACCCACTGTCCCACTCCCAAGGACTTAGTAGAACAACAAAGTGCAAGTTCTCAAAGCTTTAGGGGGAAAAGGTTACCACAATCTATTAGGAGAGGGAAGCCTCTAATTGCACCATGTCAACACACCAAGGGACACATACAAACCTGCCTGAGGCCTATTTTCTTACTGTCCCACATTTGCTTGAAGTTCCAGAAGAAAGGCTGGTCACATTTTTGACAGGAGTCACTATCCAGCCACTCTGGGGTCTGTAACACACACATGTAAACACAAAGTGGAAGTAAGAAACAAGCAAAAAAATTCCCAATGGGGCCTAGAGGCCGGACAAAAAAGATGTGTCGTGGTGTGGCAATATGGCCAGCTAAGCTTGATTTACTATTTTCATTTTCACAAGATGTCATTTTGACTGTTGTTGATGATGACAAGATGACATTTGTTCCCGGGGATGTCTCTTTTGGCTTAGCTTTGAAGGAAATGGGAGGAACAGTTGTCACCCAAATCATGAAGAGTTTGATAACAAGACCATAGAAACAACTCAGTTTTGGAAACAAAATATTTTGTTGTCCTGTCTGGACAGCATTTACCATCTGCTATTGCCTCTGGTGGGAGCTGGGGTCAATTACTATTTCCAATAGCCAAACAACTCATCTGAAGGGAAAGGGAGATTATGGGAAATGCTGTTGTGGTTTTCCATATTCTTTCTTTCTTTAATACCCTAAGAGGAGCTCCTGCGTCAGAGGTGCCTGTGCTACAAATCACACACAGGGATAAAAAAATATGAGATTCATCTGAACAAGCCCAAGACCCAAACCAAACACAAGCTCTTTTCCCTCATCAACCCATGAGGTTAAATAAACACTAAATATTGTTTATTATTTGTGAGAAAGTGCTATTAGCAAACTGCAGTTGKCTTATCAGAGCCATTGGTTTCTCACATGCTGCAAATTAAAATGACAAGAAACAGAGCCAAGATTAAGAGCTAAAAACAATAGAAAAGCCAGGCAAAGGTAAGTGAAGGATGGGTGGAGACACTCAGCTCCCAGAATAGCTTTGAACCCCAGCAATAAAGCAACCACCTGCTTCATATTCTTCTGCCAGGTATTCTGAAGGCAGTTCATTCTCTGGGGAAAATCCTTGTCTTTTCCAGCCACATAGTCTTTCTTTTTATTGTCTGCAGATTTACATCTCTGTGTATAACTTTTCATCTTTTAAAGCATTTGAACACTATTGATGAAGAAGACATTTTGCATTTGACAAGTAATCACTTTGTAGTCAAACAGAAACATAGCTTATAGCATCTTTCAGATGTCTTCTTACAGCTTGTTTAAAATTGAATTGAAAATAAAGAATGAAGGGCTAAAATGGCTTAATTGACTTTAATGCAATCTCAGTGATGTGGGAAAGTCTGATAGCAACAAAATGAGTACTGAGCACACATCATACAGAGAAAATCCTTAAATAAGGACAAAGATGTGAAATCCAGAATCCAAGAGAAAGTTATCTAGGACCCAAAACCAAGGTTTGATACTAAAATCTCAAAGATTCATGTTTTGGGGCTGGTTTAGCACCAAGAACACCCTACTGTGCTGCTGATAACAAGAACATGCCCACATGGATATTGTCTGAGAAAGCTGTGTGCCATTAGCACCTGCTGCTTGGCCTTTATTTAGCTAATAATATTTCTCCTCTATTTTTTAAACCAGCCTTCTCATARCACTGTTGTCTATTTTGTGACAAGCCAATCTTAACCCTTACCGTAGCCTTTTGAAGGCAGCAGATAAATAAAGGTTTTCATTCCTGGATGTTCAAGTTGCAGCAAAAAGGAAACATCTGCAGGGAAGGAGGAAACTGCTCTGCTTTCATTTCAGTTTAGAAGCTAATGACATACTTGGCCCCTGGATCAGCAATTGCAGAAGAGTCAACTGGAATGCTAATTCACATTAAAAAGAGAGCTCAGTTTCTGCCTATGCCTACTTCAAAAATTAGATTTTTCACTTAGCTTTWCTCCTTCCTCAAGGGAGACAAACTCAGTTCAGGGAGGCCACAATTCCCAAGAACCAGCAAAGATGGTGAGAGCCCATGCTGCCAGAAGACCTGCTTAGACCTACCCGCTGCAGGGACTTGGCATGCCTTCGCACCCCCTGTAGGAAGAGGGCAGAGGCTTGCTGTGACTCACGGGCATCAGGATTTTCCAGGCTGCTGGGCAGGGCTGGTGCCTGACTCAGCCAGCACAGAGCTCAGTTGCTCTAAGTCAGGACTCACAAATTGCCAAGTGAGGGCTGCTCCCACAGTGCCAAAGACCTGGGGAATGTTTTTGCACCCRTTCACATTTGTTGGTCATGAAGCACAAAAACAATTAGGAATGTGTGGGTGAAATTTTACTGTCTGGAGCAAAGTCATCATTTACGCCACTTCTACGAGGTTATGCCAGAGGAGAGCAAGATTGAGCAGCAAGTGAGATTGAAGCCCTAGTTAAATGATGTCTTATGAAGAACTGGGAAAAAAATGCTGGGTTGCATTTTTTCAAAGGTGACCAAGAGCCTTCTTGTTTTATTGTTTTAAAACCAAAATGAACCAATCAGTCCATCCATTTATACCCAAACTGCTAGTATTTCTCCTGATGTGCTGAAAAACACAGCAGAGCATCTCAATATCCTCCTTCCAGGGTGTCTTTCAGAGCAGTAATGTAAAGAGCAAGAGCTATTTAGCAGCATATTTAATACAAATTTTCTGCCAGACAATTTCCCCTGTACCATATTATCAAAGGCACAGCATAATTGTTGTATAGCAACTGGAGCATGTCCAGAAACATTCTTAAAGCTTGAAATGATCTTGTTTAGGTTAACAACTGCACATTTTAGAAAGGTCCTTCTTCCCAGGACTGCTTCAGACCAAACTCACAAGAACTAAGCATCTACCTCCTGCCTCTCAACATCCATGTTCCAGACGACGATTCCCCCATCTGCACCACAGGAGATGAGCTGCCGAGTGTGGTGAGCATAGGACAGAGACTGAACTTTATCACTGAAAAAGAAATAAGAGAGTTAGCAATCCACCATCTATGGCTACTGCACCAGTGAGCACAGAATGTCAATAAAGCAGTACAAACCATTTCTTTGCCCATGTTTCTCTCTCCCACTCACTGCACATGGCATCCATCAGATGCAAATCAGTCTTTGCTGTCAGGCTGGGACCAGAATGAGAGTGTTGCCCATCTGGGCAGCACCCACAAAAGCAAAGACCTGTTCTGACCTGTTTTTGCTGCTCCTGGGATAGGAGGTCCCAGCTGCATTAGAAAGTCTCAACAGGGTTGCAGCTTTTGAAGGMATATCTGGATGCATAAACACAGCCCCAGTAAGGTACCTTCTGGTCAGAAAGTCAGTAATAACTTAGCTTTCTAAATCTCTGCAGCATTTAGAAATGAATCACTGAGAAACTACTGAAGATTTTCTTTTGACATTAACAAGCATAAGGAGTTTCAAAAATAATACAGAAATTACTAAAATTGTTCCTAAGCCTTCTTACAGTAAGGTGGAAAATTTAGGTGCTTCTGATTCTTCTTTTAATGAAAAAACAACATGGGAGATGGGCTCAATCCCTCATAAAAGAAATTCCTGCCTCATCTCAGGCTATTTACAGMCTGGCAAAAAAGAGAATACAACATGGTTATGGAAAAAAAAAAAAGGTCGTGAAGACACAATAACTGAACATACTGTGACTGGAAATCATTCACAATATTTGGTTTGCTACCATCACTGGTCTTGTCTGCCAAAACGACTTTCATGCTAACACATTTATTTGTGCCTATGGCTGCACCTGCAGAGTGGAATGCATTCACTGGAGAGTTTGAGACAACACCACCACCCTTCACAGTGCCTGCCTGCTGACATCATCAGGAGTTGTAGGACTCTGTGTTGTACAGAGCTGTGTCTGACACCATGACACAGATTAAGATCCAGAGGCTAACTTCATATTAGAAGTTATTTCCACAGCAATAAATCAAGCAATGATGCATTAGGAAGCACCACTGGTAGTGTGTGAGGGTGATCTGGGAGTTTCAGCTAGAGCTCTGCAGTGCTCTGAAATCCCAGAGGCATCCCAATCACTCAGCAGAGTGCAGCATCACTCAAAAGAAATGCATGAATATGTAAGAAACTGTTAGCCCAAAACCACTGTGGGATTTTGTCTCTCCAGATCTGAGACTGGCATGCAAATCCCACAGATATGCAGTCCCTGTACTCTGAAACCAACTCATTGCATGGCCAGTGTTAAAAGGTGAGGAGCCATTCTGATGTATAATCAATGCCCAGCATGGGCTTGCTTGTCTTCAAGGACATCTAAGGCCAWGCAAATGTACTTGCAAAGACAATGCCTCTTTGCACTGAGGAGATGTGAAGGCTCCTAGGTTAAAGATTAAACACATTACTTAGAATTCAGACTGTAGATAAAGTGGCGTGGAAAGRGTGGAGGAAAAACGGACTAATTATTCAAGACGGATGCTCCCTCTAGGGGAAGGAAAGATCTTGACACCTGAAAACCAGTAATTTCCCTGCTGCTCTCATTYGAAGAGCCTCATCTTTTCCAACAAAGGCACAGGCTCCAGCATAACACATCCAGGACTACAGATGTTGTGCTTTCCTTCACCACCCTCTGCAGATTCTTAAAACAGCCTGTGGGCCCAACACTGGAAAACTTACTATAAGCAAATTATTCCTGTTGTGTACGGACCACAGGGAATCACACCTAAAAGGTTGAGGCTTATGAAGACTGTAACCTTTGGGCTGTTTGTTTCCAGGTGTGGCTTCTGCCTTTAGCTTTTCTCCCATAAAAGCAGGAGGAAGGGCTTTGAACATACTTATGTCCTTGCAGCTCGATGGCTGTTCCTTTTCTTCCTCCAATATCCCACATTATAATGGAATGATCAGAACTGCCTGAGAATAAAACTCGCTGTATTGGATCCCAACAGAGAGCAGTGACACCACCTGCAATAGAAGCACACACAATAGTAATTTTATTATGGRAAGTGCAAGACTGCAAGGTAACTAAAAAGTTGCAACTAAAAATGCAGAGTGATTAAAATGCAGATCTCTTTAGCAAAGACTACACAACCATGTGCCTTTCAGTGGAAAAATAACAGTCTAGAAAATTACTGAAACCCCCATCCTGCTCTTCTGTGGGCCACTTGAATGGGTGAATCCCCTGAGTAGTAAAGTGTAGTAGTACAATGGTCACAGCAGGAGCTATACAACTTTCCATCTCCATAATTTCCAGAAGATTAAAAGAGAAGCAAGTGTGGAATGTTATGGGCATCTTCTCAGTATCCTAGTACAAGGACTGAACTTGTGCTACCTTGAGCTATTAGCACTTAGAGAGAAGGGATATGAAGAAAATGCTGAGGAATGAAAGCATTTCTTCTGTTAGACGATAGGATCATACCCAGGGTTACTCTTTTTTCAAAGGGTGATGGGGCACAAGTCCCAGCAATGAAACAAGCATTTAGTGCCTTCAAGTTGTGCCTATTCCACTTGGGATAAAGTGTCTACCAACACAGATCTTGCAGCATCCTTTCTCCCAGCCAGAAATACCACATCTTGTTTGAGCCTCACTCTGCTTTAATTAGCAGCTACTGACTGTGGCATTTTCTGCCATAGACATGTTCTGCTCAGATCTCTGATCACTCCGRTTTTCACCAATAGAGCTTCCCTAAACTGCTGGAGCACTTYAAAGTCTATGTCCCTCCCATGCTATGCTCTGACACAAGCCATCCTAGTGTACCACAGGACAGTCAAACCACCATGATGCTGAGCACAGATGAAGAACCAGATTGGATCTCCTCCTGAAGCCTTACCTGTGTGTCCTTTAAATGTGGTAACAAGGCTGCAGGACTCTTGCTCTAGTTTGAGTATGGTGACTTGCCCAGAATGGTCACCAACAAACACATGCCGGGTTTCCACATCAAATCTGAAGGATGAATGCTGAGGAAAACATACTATTTACACAAGCTTTGCATTCCTTTCATGACTCACTAATTCTTTTAACGTGAGTATACTGCAATCTTGTGAGTAGTGTTCCAGTCTTAAGGAGGTACTCAGAGTGTACTTTAAGGCTCCTTTTCATACTAATAATGCTCATATCTGTTCATACTAACAGTGCAGTATCCCTGAGTGAGAAAAAGTGAGAGGAGACAATTTGTGGGTTTGTTATGAAACACCATTGAAGTAGCCCTTCACCATGAAYATAGTTGTCTCCTCAGGCTCTGTAACTTAGGTGCTACAGTTGGATGGTATCCACTCTCTGCCTTCCCAAATTTATACAAAACATCTGTTACTAGTTTTCTGCTTGTATTGGGTTTGGGTGGTGAGGCTTTGCTAGTGGGAGGTGCATGGTGTGGCTTCTTTGAAAAGCTGCCAGAAAMTTTCCCCATGTCCAACGGAGCCAATGACAACTGGCTCCAAGATAAGAGCTTGAGCTGAGCCCAACAGCAAGTGGCAGTGCCTCTGGGATAGCAGATTTAACAGAGGGGGATAAACGTCCCAGCAACTTCACCTGGCAAAAGATGAGACTACGTGAGAGAACTGCAGGCACCAAGGTCAGTGAACAAGGTGGGAGAGAAGGTGCTCCAGGTGCTAGAGCTGAGAGATTCCCTTGCTACTGTGGGAGGCAGGTTGCTCCCCTGCAGCCCTTGAAGGTCCACAGTGGACCAGGTATCCACCTGCAGTCCATGGAGGAACCCCACAGTGAAGCAGATGGATGCATAACTGAAGCTGGGACCCCATGGGTAACCCACAACAGAGCAAGTTCCTGGCAGGACAGAGGAGTCCACGCTGGAGCAGGTTTGGTGGCAAGATTTGTGACCCTGTGGGAACCCATGCTGGCGAGTCTGTTTGTAAAGGGCTGCACGCTATGGAAGGGACCCATGCTGGAGTAGGGGAAGTGCGAGGAGTCCCCCCCTGTGGAAGAAGGAGCAGCAAAGACAACATGCAATGAACCRGTTGCAACCCCCAGAAGACACAGCAAATCAGGAGCAAAGTTGAGCCCAGACAGGAAGAAGAAAGGAATGGGGGGAAAGTACTTTTAAGATTGGGGTTTATTTCTTCTTATCCCATTCTGATTTCATTGGCCATTCAAACACTTACTGGAGCCACGTAACTGGACAGATTCTGATCTCTTCATCCAATTTAATTCCACATTCAGAATCTATACTGGATGTTTAAAGAGTAACTSTTGTTAGCACTCCAAAAGAACAGTGATATTTAGGGAGCATACRGGACATCAGACAATAAAATAACCCAAACCTGTTCCTGGTTGTGCCAAATATTTTTGCAGTATTTGCCAGTGATTCTTCCTTCCACTGCTTCCACTGCCCCCCACCATCATAATCAGATGACCCAAATTAAATTGTCCTCCAAAAGTTTTAATCAGACAAAATTGCCTGTTCTCTAGAGAGATTTAGGGAACATAAGACAAATKCTTGTATCATGCATTCAAAATTATTTATCATTGAATTAAAAATTAACTTCAGTCCTTCTGCCATTCAGATTGGCTAAATTACCAGATAACATAAAGCAATTCCACATTCAAATAATAATTTTGCATTAAGATCACTTCTCAYGAGCTGCATATCAAAACATGCATCATCTATACCACATATACTCCAGGGCATTAAAAAGTCTGTTTATGCTAACYCCTGTTTTCAGCTGAAGAGCTCATACTTTTCCACTTCCCTTTTCATTTGCAATAAAGTTGAATTAATATTTCTTTTACTGTCAGGCAGCTGGTTCAGCTCTAGGTGAATAAGCCACTTGAGTGYCATTTCTGGAGTAATTTACTCCTTAGTTAACCCAAATTCCCAATACATAGTGAACAGTTCCAGAGTGAAGGACAAGTGCTCATTATTYTATATTAAAATAATTTAATTTTTACCATGCATACGCATAGGCACTCTGACCTGATCACCAACCTACTTTTGCTGCCATTAATTCTCTGAAGAAAGCAGGCATTGCATGTTTAAATGAAGGCCCTATCCATATTTATTACAATAGCAGACCACAATAGGTTGCAGATCACCCACTGTGGGGCCTGAAAATGCTTAGACCTAAATATGCCACAATGCATTAAGGAGACAAAGCAAGGAGAACTGACATTTTTTTAAATTGGCTTTAAATAACAGTTTCTCTCACAAAGCACTGAATCCATATAGGGCACAAAATTTGGAGGACAGCTAGATAAATAAACTGAAAGGGCTGATGGAGTGCCAAAGAGCAGAAATAAAATTGAGAGYTCAGCAAAGGATACTGCAGGCCACAGGCGCCTGCACTGGTGCGGTACCCCCCCAGCCGCTGGCCACTCTCCGAACAGTGCCATGTGAAGTGTTTGTCTTGTCCGGTGCTCAACACCCACTCCATCTCCAGGACAAACAGAATCATGATGACCCTGCTTTGATGAGCTAAAAGTTAAGCAGACAGACATATAATCACATTGCAGAGAAGAATATGGGGGCAGATAACCACTGCAAACATCAATTGCACCCAACTCCTCCACTCACATGTCCTTACAGAAGCAGCTGGTGTTTAATAATCCTGTTGACATCAGTTTCCATGAAAGCTTGTAAGTTCCTGCTCTGCATGTGGAGCGTTTGCATGAGAAAGGGTGGAAGCAAGACTTAAGTCCTTCCATGCCTATTGCAGGAAGGAATTCATTTATTCTTTTATCTTTTAATGCCTATTCATTTATCTTCTACAGCAGCACAAGTCTTCCTTCCATCATTGTATCATCACTAACAATGCTCACACTTTGGAATGGACTTGGGATTCCATTTAAACTTCTTTTTGAGCTGTTTTTTTTGACCAGATGAAATGAAGATGCCTACACTGCTGCTCCTCTAGCTGGGAAGTTTTAGCGGACCTGCGTTGTGGTACCCCAGCACAATGATGAGTTACAGCACAGGCACAAACACTGCGCCAAAGGGAAGTTTCAGCATTAAAAGTTACTGGAATAAAATTGAAAAAAAAAAAAAAAAAAAAAAAAAAAAAAAAAAAAAAAAAAAAAAAAAAAAAAAGAAAAATATCACAGCTGTGGTAGATGAATAAAACAGCTGAAAGAATACATTTCTACAGCTACCAAAATAAAGCCATCAAAAGCTTTTCACTAAAACAAGGGAACACATGCTTGTACAGACAGTTTTTTGTATGAATGACCAGCAGGGTTGGTCATGAAGTGCTGATGGAGGTGATATTCTAATAAAACAAGTGGCTGGGAAAACATACAGAACTATTCCCAGCTGTAACTTAATGGTGAATGCCACTCCTCAATCTAGAGCCCTACTGGTTTATTACAATTCCAAGACCCAGCAACATATGTTGCACAAAACTGACTGCTTGTATTTGTCTGTGTAAAAGCTGACACAAAAAGAGATTGAATATGTTTGGAAGTTTAAACACCAGCTCCAAGACTCCATTTGAAAGGCAGAGAAGCTTCTCAGAACAGCATGGGAATATTGCTGTCYGCCCTATACAAATACAGAGCACAGATTACAGCTGTGTTCAAACCCTACAAGGGGGAACTATTTGTAGCAAAGAAAAAGAGGCTTCCACAAGCCAACATCTGCCCTGATGTACACTGCTTTTTTTAGACTCAAATTCCCTGAGCAGAAAAGTCAATGGATGTATTGACACAACCTGCTGTAACTGTGATTGGCAGCTAGATCAGTTTACAGTGTCAGGCTTGAACTGTGCCCAGATGTTCTCACCCTTGCCCACAGTAAAGCTCAGATTTTGGCTGTCATTTCCACATACTTTTACATTCCAAATAAAAAGGTGGGGACCATTCAGGAGTCACTTGAACTCTTTCAAATAGATCCTACCTCTTCTCCACCCTTGTTTTCTGTGGGAAGAAATTCAGTGCCCCCCTGGGTGGCTCATGCTTATCTTTACCCACCTGTTGGTCTCTGGGAACACCTGCACTAGCCCGTGGAGTGCTGTGCTTAGAAAGGGGACATGATTTGCTGCCACAAGCACCTCATGGGCTCACATACATGTCCCAGGAGCTTGTGTGAACCATGAATGCCACAGACACACCCATGCAGTTCCACAGGATGTGCAAAGCTGGGTGAGATCAGACTGGTCAAGACCTAACCAGGAATGTTTTCTCAGCACATGGCAAATGCTACTGCTAGTGACAGCTTCTTATGGTCTGAATTGGTTGTGAGGACAGCTGGCATCAGCCAGCTTTCCTAAATCTCCTCCTGCCTCCTGAAACTTCTAAAAGGCAGGGCTTGTATTTTTGGTAGAAGCACTGCCTTTGGATGCTGAGGTAGCTCCTCCTGGCAAGTAAAGAGTAGACATTAAAAAACTTAAATTGTCAAGAGGTGGATGGGATGTACATGATAGCTTTGCTTATCCTCTCTCCCCAAAAAGAGCTTTCAATTCAGCACGCTGTTGTCCACATGCACATATCAGCTGGTGCCACCACACACATACTGATGGCAGAAATATCTGAAACAAGTGAAAGTGCAAAGTGCACAGTGCGGGTCATCTAGGTAAGGGAACAAAGGGAAGACGAGGACAAATCCAAACAAAGTATCACTTGTCATTAGGAGGGAATATGTGTCACAGCTTAAAGAAACAAAATATCAGAAGGTTGGATGCTGATGGCAGAGCAAGAAAGAGGTCTGTGCCCTAGAACTAACAGAGGTCAGCATCTTGAAACAGCAAACAAAAAGCTGCTCCTTCATCTACTGAAGATTTGATCACCATTTGTATGCAGAAAAAATGTGGAGCAAAAAATTCCAAAGCTGYTCATTTGCAACATCAGCAGGATGGAGATGGAGGGGGAATATGGTCACAGTACAGGAAAACTCCCAATAAGCACCAGTCAAGAGCAGATTTATGTAAGCCAGCATGAGAAGGGAGACATTTGTGAGGAAAGATCATGCTGCACAGAAAGGAGAGAAGCAGCAGAGAGGAGAAAGGCACGGGTCCATGTGCTGGAGGGTGGGACCGAGCAGGGTGGCTGCTCTCCTCTATTGAGACAACAGCAATGAGCATTGCAAAGAGCAGGTCGTAGAGAAGATGGAAAGGCTGTGCCCAGAGAAAAGAAGCTATAGCCAGGAGGTGCACACCAAGATGTCAGCACAGGGAAAAGGAGGGTCAGTGTTGTGTGTAAAGGCAAACATCCAAGAAGCACAGACAGTGCATGACAGCACAGTGCTGAGTGAGATGTTGTGCTGAGGGGTTACAACAGTAAAAAATATCAGTGAATGCCAAAACAGAGGTGAAAATTGGCAGGAAGAAAAAAAGTTTAGCATGAGCAAGAAAAGCACAAGTGAAGAGGCTGTGCCAGGGAGAAAGCAGAMGTAAGGGCGTGACATGAGCTGGCCTGAAAGCAGAGGGTCAGGGGAACACCCTCAAACCGGCAAGCTGCTCAAAGCATGAGGCAGAAGCAGGTCTACAAATCTTGCCAGGCAAAAAAAGTGTGTCTCAAATAAATGAATTAATAATAAATAAATAAATAAATAAATAAATAAATAAATAAATAAATAATACGAAACACTAAAGCAGGCGCTGTTATCTCATCCACAGGGAGCACAACAAGATGGTCCCATTGCAAGAAGCAGGGTAGAGAAGGCCATGCAGAATGGGAAGCAGCAACAGCCATATGGCAGGACCAGCTTGTCAAGAGCTGGAGGGGGTTGAAAGCCAAGGCTGCTGAGGGGAAGGAAGTGTTTCTTGCAGGAATGTTGGAGGAGCTGCCCAGGGAGAGAGCAGAGGCTGTCTGCATCTTCAGTTGGTGCTGAGACTGAAGAAGAACGGATGGTGGTATGAGAGACAGACACACAATGAAAAAAAACTATTTTCCCAAAGCATCCCAAATGACACTGTTCAAGTGCCTGCACTTCTCCTTACACAAGGGAATGAGTCAGTGACTGCAGTAGGCCAATGCCACAAGACCCACCCCAGAGGCCTGACTGTGTCACATCCCCCATTTCTGTGTTCAGATCCCTTTCAAAAAATAAGATTTCACAACTCCAGACAGTGTTGCAGCAAAATCTCCACAGAGCGTGTCCAGCCATGTACACTGCCAATGCCAGACTCCATATGCCACCAGACCTGGCTGCATACCCCTACCATAACAAAAGCACAGCTTATCCATGTATTGTCATTCTCTGTCACCACCAGATCATTTGACCAACATATTCATGGCCTTTCACGACACAATTAATGTTCTTTCACCACTACACCAGCCTCAGCTATTTATAATAATACCTTGTTGTGGGAGATGACCAATAACCCATCAGTCACCGTGCAAGAGCACTGCTGACCATTTACTAGAACACACAAAATCAGCCAGCATGACTCAGCTAAAGTCCCTTAGTAGGCAAAATAGAATTATTTATTCCTCCTAAAATACTTTGGAGAATATAAATGTCTTACTGGAAAACTTTAAGCAAAAATTTTAAAAGGTAAGGCTTTTAACAAATGAACCACTAGAAGGCCACCATATCCAACAAAACCACCTGGYCCTTTTTAATTGTATTTTTCCTTGCCCAGGATTTTACCAAGATGCTTATGCCAATCCCAAAACTCAATATGGCCACATGAGGAAAGTGCACTACAGGGATGAGGAGACTGAAGGGAGTCCTACTGGACCACGTGAGGAAGATCCATCTCTGTGGGATCTTGACATGCCTACCTAAGGGACTACAATGCCCTTCCCTGCATATTCTTCCACAGAGCATGGTGAAAACGGGGTTCTTTCCTCCTTACTGTGTCCCAGCTGGCCTTGGACCCAATGAGGGCCCCAGTAAGATCAGATCAGTGTTCTGGTTGGAGATAAATATAGCAAGAGGAGCATGAAAGTAACTAACACTGCATGGACTGATGGAATTTCAGGACCCTGGGACTGATGGCAGCTCACAGAGCACCTCACTATTGCAATGTTTCCCCAGCACTCCAGACCTCCAACATGGGTCCAGCCTAGCCCAAGGACCTGGCAGAAGGGGTGCTACACTCCTCCACCAACACCTGGTGTGAAGAATGGATAATCCAGGAGCATATCTGGTTGGAAGGAGGTGGTAGGAGGCACTGTGCTGTGGAGCAGCAGGCAGCCTCAAGTCATTGGTGTCCTGAAAACAGTGGGGAATCTCTGTGGGTTTTTTTGTTTTCCTGCCTTGCACTGCCAGAAAACTGCTCACTGCTATTATGCAGGTGCGTGCAGTGAGACAGTGGCAAAAGCTGTCCAGAAAAGATGTGGTTGCCCCATTTCTGGAAGTGTTCAAGGCCAGGCTGGATGGAGCTTCAAGAACCTGATCTAGTGGAAGGCTTTTCCCTTTCCTTTCCCTTTCCTTTCCTTTCCTTTCCTTTCCTTTCCTTTCCTTTCCTTTCCTTTCCTTTCCTTTCCTTTCCTTTCCTTTCCTTTCCTTTCCTTTCCTTTNCTTTCCTTTCCTTTCCTTTCCTTTCCTTTCCTTTCCTTTCCTTTCCTTTCCTTTCCTTTCCTTTCCTTTCCTTTCCTTTCCTTTCCTTTCCCCCAGACCATCAGTGGGCTGTCACACCCAACTGGCTTTTCTGAAATACTGCCAAGAAATCCATTCCCCTCTTCCAAAATTTTCAGCATTTTCCCTGAAGAGCTCATCAAGAAAGTTGCTTTCGTGCATATGTGGTTCTGCATATGCAGAAGAAAAGACCTCAGTTCACCCTCTTTAGTGCAATAACCTTTAAATATGAAACTTAGCTGTATGAAACTTTGGTGACTGTAGAGCAATCACAAAATTGGATACTTAACACCTGTACAGTCAGACTACAGCAATCTTATTTAAGATTCTCAAATATATATTTGAACATCATCAGATATTCTTCTTCAGTTTTTACAAGCTAAGAAAAAACACAGACATTCCAGCTTAATTTTACAACACACCAGACATTCATGAAACAGCTGAAGTGAAACACTCACATGTTAGCTATGCTCTGCAAAAATCAAGATTCTCTTCATACCTTAAAAATCTAAATGTTACAAAGTGATCCCCAGAGACTTCTTTCAGAGATTTAAATTACCCTTTTAATCTTTCAAGGTATTAAACTCAAAATATATGAGAAARTATGTAGTTTCAAATGTATGTGAATAATCTCAAGCTAACATGTCAGAGGCTTCTATACAGAAACATAATGTTTAGTATATAATAAGGTATGTTACCATAAAATATCATACCACCTCTTAGTCTAACAGCAAAATATAAAGTTGTCACATGTATTTGCTACTTTTATAAGAAWAACTGTCCAAAACAGTATCCTATAGAGGTCTGAGAAGGATAAATAGCTAGGTTTCTGAAAACATCACATCAGTGAGCACCAGACTAATTAGAAAAGGTAAGAGCTATAATTTCTTGACCTTTTACTAGGAGAGGTATTCACTGATAGCATTGTGGTTATTTGAACTGACAGTTACTGAAATATAATGAGACTAACCCCAAAAGCTTCAGCCTTAAAAAATGGGCTAGTTTCCTGAATTGTTTCAGTAGATACACTGGATTACTGAAGAGTGAAAATTGAAACTACTATTTCCCAAATGTGGACAGTTTGCTATCCATTGTGATAATCCACATGAATATATAAAAGGAAAAACAGAACCTGAAACAGCTCTTCTAAAAATATTGTAATCTCAGAAGAAAGCACATTATAGATCTATTGATAAAACCAGCATTTACATTAGTTTAAAAAAAAATCTATCATTGTAAGGGAAACTTTTCCATTCCCACTMGTTAAGAGAACATTAACAAAAATTAATGACAATACAAACCAATTAACAYGGATCTGGTTCTTACCCTGGTAACTTTTCACTAGTGTCATCTTGTTGTAATCTTCAGATAAAATGAATTCCTGAGGGAGGGGAAAGAAAAAACAAAAGAAACAGGGCTTAGAGATGTGAAGTGTTGGAGACTGTTTATATTTGAATATTTTACTAGCTAAACTCTCCCTTCTTTACAACCACAGCCCTATCTATACTTTGCTAATTTTAAGTACCTAAGAAGCTAAATTATTTCCCTTTTTAAGTTGCCTAAGAAACAATATTATGAGTGATTCTGAACTCATACTAATGGATAAAAAGGGAACAATTCAAAAAGAAGTCAAAATAGCTGACAGAAATGACATAATGGCTATGAGCTGAGGTGGCATAAACTGAGGAACCTGAGACCTGGCAAACACACCTKTTGCTCAGGACTTCCTGGGCAGAAACCTGTGTGTGTGCACAGCTATGTATATACACATGTATCCATGTGTGTGCATACACTACACTCCAACCTGAACACCCAGGAAACTCAACAGAAACATGCAAGAGACTCTCCAAGTTGCTCGGTCCAGACTAGGTACCAACAATACATGATGGGAATGGAATGCATTTTAGGTTTCTGTTAAAAAGCCTCTCAGTGCTTCAGACAAACAGAACCCCAAACTTTCCTGTGGCCAGGCAAGAGCACACGTATAGGGACAGACTCTGCTACTTTGGTGCTGCTGCTCAATTGCCAAGATGGTTTTTGCATGGGGAGGTGATGAGCATGGCAACTAAGAGTCTGCATGGCAGCTTCAGCTCCTGAAAAAAAACCCAGGTGGTAAAACTGACAGAGCACCCAGGTGTTCCTGCAGATTGTTTTGAAGACATGAGTTGCTCAAAACTGGGGAAATGGCCACAACCAAACTCCTGCAAATCTCTCTGGAGGAAACACATAAACTAAGGGTAAGCTCTGTGGCAGCATCACATGAATTAGCTGTCAGGTATCTACATGCATGCATCACATACTCAGAGAAATACAAAGCAAAAAATGAAGGAGCGTAAAAGCTCATCACATTAATAATTTATAGCAAACTACACAGAAACTCCCAGTGCTAATCTGCCTRGAGGRCAGAAGAAGTAAAACCTAACTGATTTAACCTGAAATAGGGTGGAAAACTAAAATAAACTTTACATACACCAGATAAGTGAATTTGATAAACATGCAGTTGTGAAATGTACTTGTGTACATGCCAAAAGCACTGGAGAAGACTATACTTCAGGAGTACAGACTATGTTTAAGGCAAACTAAATGTTTACTGCAAAACACATTCTAACCACRGACTTGCCAGTATTTACCTCAGTTTCCAAACCACGATTTTAAAAGAAGTCCCTCTGCATTTTCTCTTGGGTCAGTGCAGGTCATCTGCCTGGCCTTCAGCACCAGAATTACCCAAACACATTGTATTTACTGCTTGGCACCAAGGTGCAGAGGTTACAATACTCATCTGTGGAACAGTGACTGATCCCAGCTTCCAGAAAATCAACTGTGAGTGATTTGAGGCAGCTATGTATTCTGCTTTCTCCATGCTTCTGTTCATAAATTTGTTACAAATATGTTCTCTTAAATTGCTCTACTTTATTTTCCTTTCCTTAACCTGCTCCACCCCCCTTTAGGTTTCCCTGGCAGCTAAGAACTACAGTAGGGAGTGTTACTTAAAGAACAGGAACAAATAAATTAAGTAATTGGATTTCTATACCAGGGTCACTTTAACTCTACAAGCACAGAAAGTTAGAAATCTGCCATCCTTTCCCAGCTACCTCCAGGGGAAGTTGTTTTTGTTAACCACTGTCTGAAGRATACTAAACCACCACATGAAATGCTTTACTACAAAGCTTATTTGAAGCAGGACCCTTTGCTAAATGCTAACTTTACCTAAAGAGAAATTGTTTTAATTGCTGCAACATGTGATGTTGGAGGGTATGTGATGGGAGGATATGTCTGCCTTTCCCACCAGTTTGTCTGTCCCCAACTTCGATTGCAGTGGCACACAGTCACTGGCAACTTCAAGTGGAAAGTAGAGCGTGGATTGTATTCTTACTTTTATTTGCATTTTTCTCTTAATAAATTTGATGCGGCCATTCTGTTCTGCAATCCAAAGAGCCCCATAGTTTCAGTGCAAGACTGAAAAGGCTTTTGAATCTCTCTATTATAATACAATAAATCAAACCAGTGCAGTTCGTAAGGTTTATCCAAGTATTGATTACCACTGTATGCTTCAATATTAACCACAGCTATGTACTATCAATACACTGCTCCATCCAAAATAAAGCCATATATAGTGCAAGATAAACACAGTTTCAATTAAACTGAATACTGGATATAATTTTTTCCCCCCAAAGATATTTTGCATATAATTTTCTTCTTTGAAAGCATATGATAATTTGTGATGTATTTTCTAATCTTTCTGCAGGTTCCTCATGTGCTCTTCCATTGCACTTATTGYCTTCTTCCTCTTTAGGCTGAATGTATTAGTTGTGTCATTAGACAGGTATTTTACCACAGGGCACTTTGCTCAAGAAATTCATGCCCTATTGCACATACATTGTGTCACCTGCACTACAAAAACACCGACTACATCTCTTTAACATTGTACTAGTAGAAGCTGTTTTTTTATCCTTGCCTACATAGATGTTTTGCTCCTCTCAGAGCTGCTGATGCTCAGCTCTCATTAGGCAGCTTCTCGCTCTTCATAATGAGCTGGAAAAGCTGGGGTCACCTACACAGCTCAGTCAGCGCTTGTTAACAGAATAGAGAAATATTTCTGAGTGTTGTGTGAGCTCTTCTGCACAGGAGGGGCTGAGATAAAGCACTCAGGGTGGCAAAACCAAATACCCTCCTTGCAGGGATTAAAAACAACTTTTCTAGCAAGATCACTCTTTGCCCTTCAGAGGTGGTTTTGGAGCTATTTTACTACCTTTTCTTACCATACATAAAATGTTAGTGCTCAGTCTTGCCTGTTTCAGGTAAGCTTATTATTACAACAGTGACTTGGTACCATGAAGGTCTTCACAAAGCACAAAGGAGAATTCCTGAAGACTGTCAAAATCTASCTGTCCACTGATGTACAGAGACTCTCAACTAGTCTTTTGTGTAGCACATCTCCCTCACACTGAAATCCATATACCCATTACAAACTTCTCTTAAACAAAAGACTTGTAAAACCTCATCCTAGAAATAGTATCAGCATCTTGTTTAAATAATTCAGAGTCCTTGGCCATGGGTCTGGGTGACATGGTCCAGGAACTAAGGAAGACCCATGCCTTTCCTGAGCTTCAGGTATATGCCAACCGACATATCCCAAAACAGAGAACTCTCCTTAAGCAACTGAATCTGCTTCTGAATTAATAATCTTTATATATTAGCTACGTGTTAGCCATTCACAACCTAGTTCCCTGTGGAATTTACAGTCAGTTCTATGAYAGATTATACCATTTTGACAACACACCACGAATCTCCTTATAGGCTTGACTTTATCCTGTTAACACRAGTGACCAACTGCACTCTCACATCTTCCACAGAACAACAAACCAGTTTCAGAAATGGAAGAGAATGAAAACTCCTAAACATCTACCATGAGACACTACATCTCTATCCATTGGGGAAAAAAACCCCTCTCTATTAATAATGACTGCACTTTCACTTTATTTATTATATAATTTTGTTTCTTGAGGCAAAAATTACAAAGCTTGCCACAAAAGCAAAGGGCAACTTGTATATCAGCAGGTAGACCCTTACTCAGATAGTTGCAAGATCCRATGAGGTGGAAGACAAATTTATCTTAGCAAGTACCATCCCCAAGGAAAAATTCTGAAGGGGTTATTCTGGTGTCSTGTTGTCCTTCTGGCTCAGCTCAAAGTACATAACAGCTTCATACAGAAACAAGCACGGTCAAAAAAAAGAGATCAATTTAATTAATCCTTTAGCTACCAAAAAACTAAATCACTCATTTTAATCTCCCCAGAAATGAAGAGAGAAATTTATGCCATTTCATAACRGTTTGTAGGAAAAGTAACATTGCTGCATCCAGAGACAATTCATCTCTCCTCTACTGGCTGCAGAACATGATGCTTAACTTTATCTAGGAAATAAGATTTCATATGGATGAAATGTGGTAAGAAGTTCTTCTTGGCAGTGGAAGTCTCTCATTTACTGCAAGTAGAAGACCTTTCTTCTGTTTCTTGTGGTATCAGGAGTCTTGCACCCATTAGAGTATGCTTTTCTCCTCTTCAAAGCAAGGATTTTATGTCCAGGATGAAGTTTTTTGGCTCCCAAAATGGATTTCAAGAAGCTCCTAAGATGCCATTTCTTCTCAAAAAAAGGTTAGCAAAACATAAAAAATAAGATCACAGAAGCTTTTTTTTTTTTTTTTTTACATTAGGTGCCACCACTCTTCAAGCAAGATGCCAGACAMACTTTACTCAAGAGAATGGTGTGCTGTGCTGTGCACATGTTTGTGCAGCCTTCATGTTGAGGAGTTGCAAAAAATTAAAAACAATCTCTGAAGAAGCCAAAGCTGTTGTCCTTTTTCACAAAAAGAGGCAGTCATACCAGCTTATCTCATGGTGGCTTTGCTGGAACTTCCTTCTGTGCCAACAGCGTTGCTGCTGCTCCTTCTCAAAATGCAGCACACACATTCCTGAGGTGCCATACTTATGTAAGGAAAATGCATACAGCTTACAAAAAATTCACATACAATGAAAAAAGGCAGTTCCACTTTCTTATTTCCATATATACCTGAAAATGATTCCTTGCACTTAAAAAGAATAATCATTTGTGATTATGTGGCATTTTCATGACTATCAGCTCACAGCCCTGGCCAAGAATCCTTCCTTTCTACCCAAAGTGAAGGTGCAGAATAATTTTCATGGTTTTATTGGTTTCACTGGTTATTCTTTTTGGTTTGGGTTTTTTTATTTTTTTTTGGCCCTGCACCCAGCAAACACAAGTGTCCTGGTCATAACAGAAATCCTAATGTGGAGCAGCTAACTAACACCCAAATATTTCAAGCTGCWCAAGCAAATTACCTGTACTTTCCCTTTGAGGAAATTAAAACAAGGGTACTAAGGTCACCTTGCTGCAGTAAGTTCTGTTATTTTGTGGTCAATGTGCCCTGCTTATGTACTCCTGTGCTAAATTAATCATCATAGCTATGCCCAGGAAAGAAAATTTATCCTTTCCTCCAGAGGGTGGTTACAACCCACATTCAAGTACCTAGGAATGTTCTCTACAACCCAGTATTGCTGGGGTTTAAAAGTGGGGCTCCCCTTGTTCTTCTTGCATTCCCTCYTCCACCACTTCTTTTAGCACATTACATTTGTGGCTTCTCTTTCAAGTCTTAGGTTTGCTACAGGGGAAAGCATTTAATCCTTTGTACAAGTTTGCAGAGTGCATTTGCCCCTACCACACAACTGCTTGCAGTTACAGGGGACCAAATCAAGAAACACAGACAAGCACTTCCCCCTTCCTATATACTTGTATCTAGAAGACTGGGAAAAGAAAAACCCAGCTTAGCAACAAATAGAATCTGCCTTAGAGATGGCACTATCTATCTATAAATACGTAAAGTCACGTGTAGGTTTATCACCTGCATATCTCATTTACCTTTTTTAGCTTCAGGATGGAAACTATTTGACCCCAWTTACTCTGAAGCATCCTATGACTCTTCAACCACAAAATGCCCCCAAAATGCCCACACATCTCCCATCACGTCAGAGTATTTAAATACCTTATTTACAGATGCCTTCACATTCCTCAAAGTCCTGGTGAAAACAAAAGTGCCTAGTAGGACTGGCRAATTACAGCTATTTCAGAGAGTGGGAAGGAGAGAATTTCAGAGGTGCAGGGAATTCTCTGGCAGCTGTCCTATCTTTTAGATACAAAAGGAAAAATCTCCTACAGGCACACAACAAAATATCTGCTGCTAGCCATTAATAGCTTTGTAGGTCAAAACATTCACATCTTTGATAGAGCTTACAGGCAACAGCTAAAASGTTCACACTCCCTTTCCCAAACACAGACTGGTTGTAGTGCAGACAGCTGCCCTTATATCAGGCTGAAAAAACATTCAGCTATAAAGCCCATAAGGCAGAGACAACAGCAGAAAAAACTGAAATAAGGTAAAATGATCTTAAACTGGAAGTGGAGTCTATTGATGAGGCATAGGTGASAAATACCTCTGACCCATGATTCTTCAACTCTTTTAAAGTGATATACCTTTTCATTCATCATCTCACAAGGAAATTCCAATTAATAAGGTCAACTTCTACCCTCTGTCACAGATCTAACAGACATAAGCTTCTTTTAATATTCCACTTCCTTTCCACACATATGTATCTCAGATGTTGATGAACCAAATCTCCCAGCAACCTCACTGCCAATTAGGAGCAACTCCTCTGAAGGGAGAGGAAAACAAAATCTGAACTTTGAAGTTTGGAAAAGCAGCTAGATATGGAGCAGAAATCCACCTTCTGCCTCTAAGAAGATGAATGTTCTTCCTCCTAATTGCTGCTTTCAGAAAACTTCGGTATTGTGTAATTAACAAGTCGCTTAAATTTAATAAAACAACAGCTGTTTTTCTGTGTTATTTTTTAAGAGACATGCAAATTAAGACAGTTTGTTGACTTGCCTAATAAATATTGTAAACCCACTCAATCTCTTCATGGCAGTTGGAATAAAATTTTTAATAATCTAACATTTTCTATACTACAGATTCAGTTCCACTAGCATTAAAGAGTCCGTCTCCCAAACACTACTAAAAGTATTCTCACCACATCACATACATACTTCTCAAAAAGGAAGCATTTCAACCAGAAATCTTTGGATGTACTTACTGAGATTGTACCATTGTCTAGACCTATGGACAGCCTTCTGGTTTCCGGGTTAAAAGACATGCATGAACATGGAGCTGAAAAAAATGAACATGTTGATGAAGTTAACAAAACTCCAATTCTCATTTTCTTGAAGTTCTGGAAAGCCTAAAACTAGCTATGATTTATGATGCTGCGCAGCATTCTGAGCTTTCCAATAGACAAGCATTAAAATAAAAGTGTTCTTGCAATTCATTCAACCCTATCCTATTAGGACATGGAAGAATAGCTATTTCTTGCTCCAGTTCCTTAATTTTTTCTTACTYGTTAGCTGTAAACAGGCATTTTATGTAACAGCAATGGTGCTGCTTTGATATAAGAGGCACCTGACATTTCAGTGTAAGTCTGAATAATTTAGTTGATTAATTTAGTTTTTTACATTTTCCTGAACTGTGCTGACAATAAAACAAAACACTATATTATGTCAGAGGCTTGCATCCCATACCTGCAGTCAGAGAGTTCCCCAGCAGGAATCAACGTATCAGCTAATATTAAGGACTAAGTTCAACTGTCCCCTACTCCAGTTCCATCACAGACACCACTACAACAGCATCACATACTATGGCCAAAAAACAAGTTTCTATCTTACAGTAATATCAGTGTAATCAAGCAATGGCTAGTGTAATAAATATCAGGATTTTTTCTTAAATTGCACRCAAGTCAGTTACAGTATGCTCCCTCGAGGATCTGGCAGGGTTTTGTATAAAGGGTAAAACCAGAATTTCCTTGCACGAATTCAAGAGCTATGCTTGGTTTAATGGAAAAATTGTAAAGTTACATTTGGAAAGCAGGAATTGCTTTTACTGCCCAGCACAGCAGCATGCAGCTGGGTATCCTGCTGTCCCAACAGAAACCTTCAAGATTTATTTTTCAGGATCAATTGCCAACTGCAGTTAGGATAACAGTAATCATGCTTTGTAAAACATATTCTTATGATAAATACAGAGTACAGTCAGATGCACATTTAGTTCTGCTTTTTTCTCTCCCTCTTGGTTTCTACTCTCTGTTGTGATTGCTCACATGTTTGGGTTACTAACAAGCTTGGAGTTCTTTCTTTTGCAGTACTGTAATCCTGCATTGTATTCTCAACTTGMGTAACATCTCACTTAGGGCTAAACACCCCATATCTTAGCAAATCTTTCTTTATARTTTGAAAAAGAAAAGAGTAAAACTTGATTGTTTAATAAAACTTGTTCCACCTTCAGTGTAGACTTCTCCTTGAAATGTTTCCTGAAGGACAAGTAACCACAAACAGAAACCCCATCAGATCCACATCTAGGCAGGYACCTCAGTTTATTTCTTTCCTGGAAGGGTTGACTGAATTGAATCAAAAAAGAGGCTTCAGTTCAAGAAAACTGACAGAAAGGAAACAAATCAGGCTAGCAACAGTGACAAAATTGCTCCTTCTTGTAGTTCTCCCTTAGAAAAAGCAAACTGAAATTATCCCTTCCAAAGGTGGTGCATTGCTATAATGTTGATGCTTCTACACCTCTATCAGAGTAAGAGTTGTAGAAATACACAGAAAAAAMCACCTAATTCTAAGCAGAATAAACATAAAATAATTTTAAAGGCACTTAGTGCCAGAACAGGCATATTCTACACATCAGCTTTAAAATGCTGGACACTGTGCATACTTTGAAAGAGCTACTAGTAGCCCTGAAGGCAGGGAGTATCTCACAGAGAAGTCTCAGRTAAATTAGGTATTTGAATTATGCTTTTCTCAAACACTTCAGAAACAAACAATGCAGGCAATTGCTTGACACGATCTGATTACAAAAGAAGTAACTTCTGAATTCCAAGACCTCTGTGTACACAGTCATAGAGGTGAAAAATACTTATTTTGCTATAATCATGTTCCCAAGGGAACCCTTCAGTAATATGTGCACTTAGAAAAATCATTATGTCAGCACTAAAATTATGTCCACACCAGCTACATTGATGTACTCTGGTGCTAGTTGTAACAAGACTGCAGCAGCTTACACTCTGGTGAAATCAAGATGACTTTCAGATACTTAAGCACTTAGGCTCATTAAAAAGAGGGGGAGAAAAAGAAAAATAAAAACAAACCAGAAAACTGTAACCTTAAACTTCTAAGATATTTGAGACCCTTTTAATAACATATCCAGGAAAAATAACAGCAGTCTGAGGGTTCTTAACTTCAGTACCTAGCTATTATTTGGATTTTAGACTGGAAAAAGATTGATCTGAACTACTATAAAGAACGAAGAGGATATTCCTGACACACAAGTCTAGATGTAGTCTTAAATACAGGAAAAATACACACTGATTTTTGCCTTTAGAACAATTAAATATGGAAGAAAAGCCCAATTGCATATGTCGTGATCTCAAGAATGTGACGCTTTTATCGGAGGGTGACAGAAGCAGAAGAGAAATACAGACTTTGTACCTGCAGTTTCAGGGACCCCCACTTTGAAGTGCCTAAATTTGACACAGCTTAAGACCAAAGGAGCATGTTTTGCTTTTTTACCCTCCTGTTCAAAGCAAAATGTTAGTTATGAAAACCATCATAAGACAAACAGGGTATTATCTACCCAAAGACTGGATAYGCCATTGTTTCCTCAGTATAATAAATCCCTTACTTCATTCCACATCTGTAATATTTTTTTGGTTGCATTTGAGCTTTTGGTGTGTTTTAGTTCTGTTGGGATTTTTATTAGCAAAGCTTACATGACTACTGACTACAATTCCTTCATCTTTCACAAATGTATGTCTGCTAAGTTGGAGTATTTTTGTCCTATGCCCAAAAGTCACAAATCTAACCATGGTTACTACACATGTGTAATCAAGAGCACGCATCTAACCAGGGTTACATGTTACAGAGGTCTGTTGTTAATCAGCTGTTGAGACAACGCTGGTGTGAAGGAAATGTATTAGCAAGGTTTCCAGCTGGAATTCTTTTCCTTCTCATGGGCTAGAGATGATGATCAAAAATGTGGCCACTGTGTTGTTCAGAATTTTTTGACCATAGAATCAACCACAGACAGGACAGAAAAGTTTCCCAATTAGGGGAAATCTTACCTCTAAACTCAGAAGAGATCTATAATCTTAACTTTTTTTTTTCAGATATTTAATGATTTTCACATTCAGAAAGCACTGATGACCCTGTTTGGGTGCAGAATTTGACCAAAGCACATCACTGAGTCGACCCAACTTCTCATCCTTCTCATCTCCCAGAGGACCTAGGCTGCAAACTCAGCTATTAAGGCTATGTAATTTCAAATCATAGAATAGATTGGGTCACACATCACCATAGTCAAAGTCACAAGTCATGTTAATTGGGTATCTGTAGGTAGGATAGTGACTTACTGCTTGCTAAGCAGCTCAAAGGCACCATTGCGTCTGCTACATTTTTACACAGAGAACCTCTGGGCAGTCATTGTTCTTTAAATAAAACTCAGTAGGAACCTAAAGCAAATCACCATCAAAAAGGTGATCAACACCAAAACACGAAAMAATCATTTCCAGACTTGTGCTGACTCAGAGCCCTTTCTACGATTTCCAAGCTTAAAGGCCTGGCTGATAATGTAACTGTCATTGCTTCAGTTCTTAATTACRCCTGATCATTCTTGAAATGGTTGAATAACACAGTGTAATTTTAGTATCTCATGCCTCAAAAGCTTACCAGCCTTCAAAGTGAAGGAGCACTGCCCAGTGTTCAAATTTATGAAGGAGCTTTAAAATAGTCCCCCTTGTGGAATTTGATCTACTCCATCATTTCCACTGAAGCTGCTGTTACTGGCAGTAACACAGCTTTGGTAGGACCAGAGGAGAACCTAATGAGACTCAAAAATGCAAATATATATAAAAATACCACATGGAAAAAGAGAAGCATCAATGCCAAATTGCTAGAAAAGCCATTTTGTAAGTTTCCCTAGGGAGAGCAAAGCTCTTAGGACAGGTCACAGGAACTCAGACCACTGCTAGTGATCATGGCAGAGCTCCACAGGCGACCACATCATTAGCTAGTTCCTAATGGCTTCTTGTGCAAAACTTGAGCAGAAAGTATCTTTGAGATTGATGCATTCTTAYGGGTTAGTCCATCACCACAGGAAGATGAGGGATCCTCCTCCTTACCAAATAAGTGTTTTCTTACAGGCAAACACCATGGCTGTCCTAGACTCCAAAACTGATGTTGTTGCTGTAATAAAATTACACCTATTAAATATTTTACACATCACGGAGACAGATGTCTCTTCCAAATCTACCTATCTTAGCTTAAAATAATTCTTTCTCCAGACAGTATGAATACCTCCATGAGACCTGATATGCGCTCCCCAGTCTGGAATTAAGATCAGCTTTACAAGCTTTCCAAAGACAGGCTAACCCAGCACATCTGATTGAAACTGACTGAAGAGCATTAGCATATGCTTGCCTCTGGTGACCTACAAAGTTATATTCCTGCACTCAACACAGGGGTTACAGCAAACAGCAAGGGCTGCCATTTTTTCAACTCYCTCTTGGAAAAATGAACATTGATCTGCAGTTTCTCAAAGCATGAGCATCCTCTTTGGGAGAGGAGACAGAGCAGACAATAATGGAGGGATTCATGAGGGAAATTTGGTTTCCCACATTTAATTGCMGAGGTAAAATTATTCTGCTTCTAAACTGGAAGAGCTGCCTTCCCTGTCTARTATCCTCTCTATCATATTAGCTGCCATGGAATATTAAGTTCTTAGCAAATAAAACCATTTACCATTGCACTCTAATGGACAGAGCACATGCAGTAGGAAGGGCAGAGTGATTTATACAGGAGACTTACAAAGCTTTATAAGCTTTATGGACTCCATTAGAGGCAGAATGCAAGACTACATTTTGAGCTCCCACATTTAAAAATCTATGTTTGTATTAAATGTTCATCCCTTGCTAACATGACTGTATCCTTTTACAGCTGTAATCTGTGATGCCTCTCAGAAGCAGCAGCATGTAACTTGGATTGCTCAAGAATAACGTTTGATACAGAGATGTAAGCTTGCAAGTGGTCAAAAATAGGGAGATTCATCAAAACCAGAAAAGCTATTTTCAATTCCACAGTAGATATTGAAATCTCCTTATACTTACATGGCATTGCATGGTATATGCTGGGCCAGTACTGCCCACTGTCTCTCTTCAGCCAGACACGAACTGTTCTGTAAAAGAAAAACAACGCACACGTGAGCAAGAATAAAAAAATAACCATGAATGACTGAAAGCAAAGTGGTGATGATGAGTGTACAAGACATTCTTCAAAATGAAATTATTTYGCAGAGAGGGAAAATGAACCTGTGAACTCCATACATCACCCTCAGATTTACYGCTGTAAGGCAATGAGGGTAGACCACTTCTTGATAACATGTAGTATTCAACATCTTGGCTGAACATATCAGCTCTTCAACTTCAGGACCTCTCCCTCTCCTCAGTGCAGAGTACTATCAGATGCCCATTGCGTATGAAGCAGCCAAACTCTTAACTTTCTTTCAAGAGGACCACCAAGGTGACAGGCAGCCTCGCAGGTCTCCTCTGCCCCATCACTTTGGAGCTGCTGTCCTTAAATAGAGGCACTTACAAGCAYGCAGTGCTCCCCACAAACACATCAGCAGCTTCCTCTCCACTAGAAGATCTTCCCAATATACCTCAGTATTACTTTTGCTTTCTCATAATCATATTATACTGTCAGATCCCTGTTACTCAATCCATGCCCTTCAGACACTTGAGGCATTTGTTGCTTGTTTCCTGAGCAGAGGATCTGGACTGATGTACCATCTGGGTATTTATTATTTCAGCCCTCATTGTCATTTGCTTGTTTTGGTCCAGTCTCTGAAGCCYCTTTGTAATTGAAGGTCTCTCTTAACTTCAGTTCATCAATTAATTTCATCAAAATATGTCTAGTATCAGTATCAACAGCTAAAGCAGCATTAACCTCTTTCTTGTTCCTGCACAGCCCACTGTCTCCTCAATTACAGCCACCTGTTACCTGCCTAATTGTTTCTCTAATCCTTATAACAAYCAATGTTAATTAGAAAACTTCCCATATAATACTGTGTTCCATGCTTTACTGATTTKCAGTGTATGTATTAACCTTGTCTAGAAAACATAATTATCTAATACAGACCATGTTAGCATAGCACAATAGATTTTGATCCATCACCCACTTCTATTYAGTCTTTTCCACCAAAGTTACTATGCAATAGCACATACAGGAGGGAGCTAAAAAACTGGTGTTTATATAACTTGATATTATTAAGGAAAAAGAAACAAGCAAGAATGGCTCTTTCCAGTACATGAAATGTGGAAGTACAGCTTATGGAAAAGATTACATAGTCATTTCTACTGTCAACTCATTTTATTAGAAAAGCAGATTGCAACCCTTTTTAGTCAGTACAAGTTCAGAGCAATACCAWAACAGAATAACTATAATATAGTGTGAATTGATCTAAATCATTATATACACAAATATAGACTGAACAGAGATGCCATGCATAATAAAGCAAGTCAAGAACTAGTAATCTATCCTTCAAACTTCAAGCTACAGGCTGCACCACCRTGTCTTCCTGGATTGCATATATCCAAAGTCAGGTTTCTGCTCATCTTACCCTGAATTCAAACTCTTTTYACAGCAAAAAATTCAGAGACCTTGCACATTTGGGCACTACACAAGCTGAATAATTTTAGAAATATCTCATACATGTACTTTGATACAGTCTGTTGCTCTAAAAACTAACACTTCACTGGGTCAACAAGTCTCAAGGTTAGAAAGCGCTCACAAATTACTCAAAACATGTAACATTCATTATAGTTATCTCCTAAGTCTAATGGTCTTTGTGTGTTGAACACAGCAGCAGCTCTGAAGCAAAACTGCCAAAACTTTTTATAAGGGATAATTCACCAGCCAATAATAACACTACATATTTTTGATCGTGAGAGGCACAGACAAATCTTTCTGTCATTTCTCCCCCAGCTGAACATAGATGTTGTCTAGCAGCTCTAGAATCACACCAACCACTCTGTTTCTCAAACAGACAAGCTCTTACAAATGTGTTTGTCCTCGACAAGTGAGGTTATTGTGGGAATGAATGAGTGTGCACAAAGAAATAATGGGATTAATCACACGGAGCTGAAATAACTCAAAATGAAACTGCCCTGAAGAGGTGCACCTGTGAGAGACCTGTCTTTCTTGACCATTCCAATCTATGCACGCAATGCAATCAGTTTCAAAATCCCCAGGCTTCAACAACAATGCCTCTCCACTCTGAGGCTCTGTCAAATTCTAAATCCAGTACATTTTACAGATAATTCAACTTGCTAGGAAAGGATTATGTAGAGGAACAGATCTTTCAAAAGCTGGAGGAAATAAAAAATCAACTTTGTTTGCAAAAATAGCAATAATTTGGATGCTTTGGGTTGGTTTTGTTATTGTTTATTAAACTGCACCCATTGCAGAATTACTAATTAATTTGAAATTTACATCAATGTTAAGACTTTCAGACGAATGATAATGAAACAAAACATATTTTCTAGTAAAGCTTAAAATGAACAAACAAAAAAAMCAAACCTGGTGGAGGTTGTATTAAGAATGAAGCTACTTTTACTAATACAGGTCTCTTCTATAGATACACAGTATGCTCATTTCATAGCGTTGTCAAATGTATTTCCATTCAAGGACCAAACAATGTGACTAAATGAGAACTAAATGAGAAATAAAGCATTCTGAGAATAAAAAAAACTATGAAGAGATGCCATCTAACTATAAGGTGTGTGAAAGGAAACATAACCAGCAAGTCAGTTCATGCAACTCTTTAGAGAAATCATTATCTCCCCAGTAAATTATTTTAAATAGAAGAAAATAAAAGATCTTGTAAACTATTTATCTTTAAATTAAGGATGATTACTATGCATATCTTTAAAGCAAACATTTAAAATTGATATTAAGCATTATAATGRAATTCCAACATCTATGTATAAGCTATGTAAAATCATGACAATTATGTCATATTGTCCTGACAATTCTTTATGTCAGGAAATGATGATTCAGAATTTTCTTAAGATCACTGGAATAGATAAAAGATTTTATTGAAAGAAAACAAACTGACCTCAGTTCAGTAACCTTTTCTAGCTAGCTTTTTCTCAAAGTAGATTTGGGCTAAAGAACAAACCATACCAACTACTGAATTTGGGAGAAGCCAAATGTTCTTGGAAGAACAGGTCCTTTTTCAGCTTCAGTTCCTCACATTTTTGCATACTTCTTTACAGAATACTACCCACTACATGACAAACCCAAAGCTTTTGGATCTTCTAAAACATGCAAAGAAAAAAAAAAGAAAAATGAATGAAAGTAAGTTTTTTTTAATGTTATTCAGCATGAGGAGTACTTGCTACTTGCAAGGTTACTGGACTTAAACAACACCCATCCAGGTCAGGATTCATTCTTCAGCTGCTCTACAGTGATTCAGTCAGCATCACCATGGAAATGAGTTGTCCCTTCATTTTGTTGCCAGTGAATTGACTTGGAAAGATTTTTAGAAACTGTCAAATCGATGGATATTCTTCTAGTCTTTTCATAACAGAGATGATTTCTTTTTAAATGAGACAGGCCATACAGAAATAATTCTGCCATATAAAAGACAGGCTATGTCTTCATATATTAAGAGCATGTGAAAATTGTCTATTTTAAAAGAAAAATTGCTTCTCTCTGTTGCAGTGAAGAAAATGTCCCTCAAGTCCAGGTGGCTATGGATGTACCAGCAGGTCTCAAGCACACTACCAGGCTATGCAGGTGTGCAGGAGGTGGCTTCACTTGAGCACTTACAACACATGGAGCAGCAGCAGAAGTCCACACAGCAGCACATCCACCTTAGCATGGCAGCTCTGTGCTTCACTGTCTATACAAACTTATTCAGTCACTGGTATCTCATTTCTGATAAAGACAATTTGCTCATACAAACCCTACTTTGTGCATTTAGGCTGCAGTGTGCTCCATGAAAATCTGCAGAATCTGCAAATATGCTGAGTTGGATGCAAGATTCTGTWCTCTATTCTTACTCTAGCCTGAGCTGTCACCTCACTGCTGGAAAAGTCAATGTCGCTTGGAGAGTTGGAGTTGAGTTTCTGTGAGTGACTCATAGACAGGGCTTCTGTCTTTTCACCTTTGTGCCTAGCATGAAATTGAGGCAAAAGATGAACACTGGTGTTGTATGCAGTACAGACATACTGACCTGTCAAAGCACTGGGACAATATGTTTGTATGTTGTGATGCTGTGAACTCTGTGGTAGAGAGATCCATTACATCAAGAAAAAAGTTATCCCTATAACGCTCCACTTCTCCAGAATAACCATAAATACACCAGTTCTACCCGTACAGTTTGAGTGAAGAAATATAATGTATCAGTTTCTCACAACAGATCCTTCCTCTCCTGGTTTTTTTTTTCCTTTTGTCCTTTCTCATTTCTATCCTTTTAAAAATTTCTCTTTGCTGTAACAGATCATCACCTTCATGCCCCGAGCATACACAACAGCATGATAGAGCAGAGGTAAYCCTAAACACATACTATTTACTCCATTATTTTGTAGGTATTCCTGGGATTCAGAAAATTGTTTTAAATGGCATATTACTATATTCCTTATTGTTTATACCTTGGTCCCTGTATTGTGGGATTATTTTATCTCTTGTCTTGCTGAGTGACCAAGACTAGTAAACATCAAATGAGATGTGAAATTAATTTTATTCTTATTTGTAGTGAGGACAGAAATTACAGAGGTACAGAAACTTTCATCTGTCACTTTCAAAAGTCWTCAAGCTTCTTCAGAGACCCTTTACACATTCTTGCTCCTTGGGAAAGGAGGATATGTCAACAGTGCAAATAACATGATTAAAAATAAACATTTCCTACTGTCCACAGTTCTACCTACAGCACTGATTTAACACAGTTTCAGAATAGTTTTGAAAAAAAAGGAAAAGAAACACAYTAATCTATTCTGGAAAGTCCTTTAAAACACTCCTCCAGCCATTTACTGACAGTAGAAACAAAAGGGTATTAGGACAATATTATATAACAGTTAGAGCAAACTCTGAGGTTTCAAGCATATCTAATGGAGTATTAGCACATATTCTCACCATCAATACTGAAGTTCTTTAGCGTTTAAAAGAAACTCT